CTCCTGATACTTTGACAAAAATTTCGAATTTTTCACCTTCAGTGAAAATTTCAGTGAATAGCTCTTCGGTTGTCATGTGCTCCTGATACTTTGACAAAAATTTCGAATTTTTCACTTCCAGTGAAAATTTCAGTGAAGAGCTCCTCGATTGTTAAATTCCCATGATACTTTTTCAAAAATTTAGAATTTTTCACTTTCAGTGAAAATTTCAGTGAATAGCTCCTCGATTGTCATGTTACCCTGATACTTTTTCACAAATTTCGAATTTTTTACTTTCAGTGAAAATTTCAGTGAATAGCTCCTCGATGTTCATGTTACCCTGATACTTTTTCAAAAATTTTGAATTTGTCAATTGCAGCGAATACCTACCTAAAGATAAAATTAGAATTATTTTGAAAAAAAAAATGAATGACGGCGGGATCGAACCCGAGCCGTTGGCGTGGTAGGCAAGCACGTTACCATTTAGACAACGCATTAATTCTGAAATTATAATTTCATTAGTGGTATATCTTCAATATATTGAATAATTTTTTTCATTGAAATTCCACAAGATGTGGTTTCCCCCTTCCGCACGTTCTACAGTCGACTCAATTTCAGTTAAATAAATAAAAAACAAAAAGTATTCATACCGCAGAAAATAAAATTCACCCCGTCGACTTGAGACACCCCAGCATTGCAATAAAAACTTGGTTAATAAAAAAAAACACCCCAGGATTGCGTGTGGCGCCCTCCCTCTCTTGGGATGCAGTACTACGATGCCGCTGGGGTCACTCAAACCCCCAGAACTAAGCCTCTACTTAGTCAATCCTCCTTGGTACAACCGGTGAAATAATTGAATAGAATAATTTGGAATCCGCAACGGTAATAATAACATATCAATTTTGAATAATTATCCAAATTTTGCATAAAACTTTTGTAATAATCGTTTTGAATAGAAATAATAAAATCCCATTCGAATGACAGTTTTAATTCGCGAATGCAAATCACCGAAGAAGAATAATTAATCGTTAACCCATCAATAATCTGGGATTTCTGTGGAATACTTCTGCAAAGCTTGAACTCCGTAATTTTCCCCGTGATTAATCAATTAAAAAAAAAAGACATGTTAAGGACTCATTGAACATTAAAACAACACAATGAATTAATGAATTTCTGTTTAATCAAATTGTTTTTTCCTGTAGAATCCACAAATAAAAGACGCGGACTATTTACATACACTTGTAGAGGATGACGATGCTCCAAGATAATTAACCACCCCTAAACCACGGAATTCCTCAATGGAGCTTTGCAAAACCTCTCTGGGATGCTTAACCCGGTTACGAAGACTCCAAAACCCATTATTCTCCCAAACCCGTGACCAGCGAACTCAAGTGAACGAGCACCACCCTGACCTTGAGAATCACCCAAGAATCGACACCAAGACGATAAAAAAATTAGAGAGGCTGTCCCTAGTGGATTTCGGTAATGAAGCAGGAATAAAACGCCTGGAGGCCGCAATAAAATTCGCGGAAAAGCTGAAGAACTTTCCAATAGACGACTCCGTCGAGCCACTGTACTGCATCCTAGAAAAGGAGAGTCTTCGACTACGAGAGGATAAAGTGACCGAAGGCAACTGCAGGGAGAAAGTCCTTAAGAACGCGATAGTAACTGAGGACGAGTACTTCGTGGCACCTCCGGGGAATATCCCCCTCGAGCAATGACCTTAGAGAAAATCCTAGAGGACGTGGGGAGTGCATTTCTAAAGCTGGAGAGGGGTTTCCTCTTCGGTCCCCAGGGGCGATTGCTGCGGAGAAACGTCGAGGAGTTGTGGTACAGGTATTGCGTTGTTATGCCTCCATATAATGTCTTCCTGTCAGCTATTGACGGAATGTCGGAGACCCTGGGGACTCTGCAGAGGGTAGGAGCTGGAGAAAAACCCTTTGGCATTGCCGCCCTGGAGGAGTCCAAGTCCTGCTGGAACGGCGAGACTCTCTCGGAGGCCTACAAATTGCCTCACAGAGTTGGTAGAGTCACTGTGGTGGCTTCAGCAGCCGAGGGGAAAGACCTCTTCCACAGGAAGCAAAGGGAGAGGAAGGTCTGGTGGAGAAAGTTCTCCAGGGAACCCAAGAGGTTTCAATTCGCCGAGGCCAAGAGGAGCACCAAGAACAAAGAGATCATCGATATCGAGGCTCACTTCAGCTTTGGAAAGCTTCTCGTGGAGAGTATCAGCCATCAGCAGGATGTCAAACGAATTTTTAAAGATCAGAATGTGTCAGATAAGTCTCTGGAGAACGTCCACATCGTTGAACACACTGCATCCTTGGACTGGGGTTCTCTGGCGTTCCTCTGTGATGCCTACACCCCCAGAGGCATCTCAGGCACCTGCCAGGTTAAGCTCCACCCCAAATTCTCTCCCTACAAAGTCGGTTTCCACGTATGTGAGAACGTGGATTCAAAGTCTCTGGAAAAATCTCGTCTCCTTCTTTATTTGAATAATCTCGTCAAGGCTGAGGGTATCGAGACTGTCGTGACGACGAGTAAAATTGGCATGGAGTCTCTCCAGGTGCCCCTCGTCGTTCATGTCGACGAGACGACTCTGCAGAATGGCATCGTCAAGGTCTGGAGTCAACTCACTACTCTCCACGAGTCTGTACACATCACAGATCTCACCAAATACGTCTCCTCCCGGTGCAACTAATCAGGACACAGTTGTTGTAGTCATTATTTTAATTAATTACTTTCAATAAAAATAGAACAACTTAAACATTACAGGCAGACAGAAATGTTTATCAGGTTTTCAATTACTCCGTAATCATTATTTTTATTTAATTATCTCTACTATTGCAGAGAGGAGGGAAATCAAGACCTTCGATTTTTCATTTTTCATTATGCATCAAATTTTATTTAGTCGTAATTTTCGTCAATTTATGGTGAATATCTCGACATCAGAATGAGATAGCAAAATCTTCGCTTGACCTTTTTCAGCGAAAAAAAGAAAATCTACAAAAAAAACTATCACACAAATTTTTCTAACCCGCTCCAATTCCAAGATATTCACCAAGAAATCCGATAACTTCATGGTATCATTTAGATCTCTAATTTACTAGTCTTTCCTGCTGACTCGACGATCTCATTTCATTCGGAAATAAAAAAAAAAACTAAATCGAAAGTGTTCGCTTCCCCGTACTCTCCGATTATCCCGCGAAGAGCTAGATTAACGCCATCCACGTGATTGACACTGTATGTGCACCTTTGTAACATGGTAAAAAATTTTTGAATGAAATTGCTCATTTCCCACCGCCGCAGACACTCACCAGTCTCTGAATTATGTACAAGAGGTTGGAGGGAGAGAGGAGAACAGAGAAAAAGTCTGATGATACGTGAAAAATTGAAGGGAATTTGGGTGTGATGAGCACATGGATCAAAGGCATGTGATGGCATGTGATGGCATGGGATGGCATGTGATGAGGTGACATGGATCAAAGGGGTCATTATGAATTATTTTATTCCACTCCAATCATGTCCATCTGCCTCATCCTTCCTCGTCTAGATGAAAACTTGTGCGAATTTTTCGTTATTATTGTCAGACTGATATCGAGAGGATTCCCCTCTCTCCCTCGATGGTCTCAACGGCGTGCCAGGTCAGCAGTAGCAATGCATCCAATTATCGATTTTATCGAGATTGATTGACAAAATAAATGTAATTAATGTTTTATGTTCAATTCACTCAGAGTGGCTAAGCTGGTAACTGAAGTTTCTTGCCCTTGAGTACTTTGGTAATGTAGAGATAGAAAAAGTCGCAGTAGAGAACAGTCTGCACAACTCCAGCGACGATGGCGATGAGGTCGTAGTGATCCTCAGCATAATAACGGTAGACCCAATTCAGAAGGTACAGGCCACGGTAGGATCCCAAGGCGAATAGGTAGTGGCTTGTAATACTCTCGGCTTCACCAGTCTTCGATACCAGGAATAGTTGGGGTAAAATTGCCACTGACTCCAGGTAAATACTGAAAGTCCACAGAATCTCCAGGGGGGAAAACTCGTGGTTAATCAACAGAGCCAAAACCAGTGCCGGAGCTATCAGAAATTCAATCCTGAAATGGAAAGAATTCATTCAATGTCGATTTTCAGAGGGAAAATAATTCTGTAATCGAGTGGTGAAGGGGAATAAATTCATGTAGATTGATTGAATTGATTGAAAATTCCTGTGAAAAATATGGGAGTGCTGGTGCATCCACGAAAATCTCTACCTGTACCTGTATCAGTACCAACAAAAATAAAAAGCCAGACTTACCGGAACGAGTCGTGATTGTGATCGTAGGTTGCCTTGAATTTGACATACATAAAGAAGATAGTCGCCAATGAGGCACTAATGAAGACAAACTTCATAATCGTGTTGTAGGCAGAGATGTACGTATTGAGGAGATCGAGGTACCTCGCTATGTAGACGATGGCGAAAAGTATTTGAGATTTTCCGCTTATACCTTGAAGGAAAAATCAAAATACACAATTGGGCATCAAGTTATCAATAGGCAATTACCGAATTCCGTCTTATAATGATATTTGGAAGGCAGAATTCCAAAATTTACTTACCGGCACAACTCCTGGTAGTCCATATTTTAAGCAGTAAAACGATGATCGCTAGGAGATGCGATAAATCACCGAGCAATCGGAATATGTTCATCTCGTAATTCTGTTGATTCTCGTTGCAGTTAGTCCAGGGATAATTGCTGGGCTTTTTTGTGGTTAAAACACGGGGGATGGACAAGAGGTGGTCTCACTCACAACCGCACAAATCGACAGCCACGGCACATAAATATGACGTGGCTTTGGGAACTGTGCTTGCTCAAAAGCATTCGGCAGATGGCCGACTGATCCACGAATCCAAACAGGAGACGATGTTTTTTGACTGGTTTATACCTATTCTTATTTTTAATCGTCAATATTTTTATTTCCTCCCCATGACTCTTTCACCGAATTATCAGCTTTTAAAACTTGTCACATTATTTTATGCTAATTTTATTCATTACTTAATTTCTGCCGATATTCTTTTGAAGTATGCCCGCCAATTTTTTCTATTGTATATAATAATTAATTGTTTTTTTAATGATTCTTATGGGATTATTTTAACATTTTTATTACAGCTTGCTCGATTTTTTTCCAGACAATTTGACTGTATTTTTATTTGTAATTATAGAGTAGATTGTTATTACACTTTTATCATTTTCAAAACTCACCAATTATAATAATATTTCTGCTTGAATTCCGAACTACAGTAATTCTCAAGTCATCACTGTCAATAGCTTATTTACAATTCAAAACCCTTGAATAAATTTCACTGCGTCAAACTTCCGTTACTCGATTTGAAATATCGGCCGGAGCCCGCCGCGCAGCGGCCATCTTGTCCATAGCCAGCGCGCGTTCCGTTCGAACATCCGAGCTGGGCTCAAACCAAAAAATCCGTCAAACTCCTAAAACGCCACTAAAAACAATTATTCAACAACCAGAAAGAATGAACGAGAAAAACCTTGTGAAAATAAGTCCCACCAATATGGGGAGCATAATTATCCACGCCTGGGCCGCCTCTCAGGAGAGATCTCCCATGATCCAATGTAAGTCGGCGCGAATGTCATTCCCTGGATTCTACGCGGTATTCCACTCTGAACTCCAAAATAAAACCCGGTAAATCAATAAAAAAACAAATCCCCATTGCCTACACGTGACATGTACTCGTGGCATGATCTGTAAAAAGTGGGTGTTGATAAGTGGGTGGTGGGGGGCAATCCCCTTGTGAAGAGTGAGAGGTCTGGTGAAATGAGGAGGAAGGGGCGAGGCCAGAGGCAGTTGGGTGGTTGGGTCACTCGGTTCTCCTCGGTAAACTCAATTCAACTGAGTGTTGGTGGCGTTCTCTGGCACTTATTGCTGTGCATTGCAGTGTTATGCTTGGGTACAGGGTACAGGTACATGTTTTTCCGTGTGAAGTTAACAGTGTGCAGTGGTAGTTGGTGTCGAGTGATCTCAGGTGGATGGTGCTGGTAACCAGGAGGAGGAAGAATCACCAGGAGTCGATGATTCATGACAATCGAGATTAGGAGTGTCGTTGAATCACTGAAAATCACTTGAAATCACTCCGTCACGGATCACTGGAGAGGGAGTGATTCTCTGGTGCACCAGCCTCTTATTAGTCCCGATGTGATCTGGCCACATCTCAGAATTATGTAGACGATCACCCCCCCAAATTAGCGACACCATGACACAATATCCAGCCGTTGGTGTGTTATAAATATACGGATAGGCGTTTGTACGGATTATTGGACTTGTTGGGACTGGATTTGTGAGATATCAGAGTCACTGGGTGTCTTTGAGTATTTCGTTTTGGTGTTTGGGGTCAGTTGTTGGGTGTCTGGGAGCAGTGGATGCGGGAGGGGATGTGATTTTTAACGGGTGGAGCTGGGGAAAAGGTGAAGGAGTGGTTGGGGAACATGGGAATATGGGTTTGAGGATATACGAGATGAAATGGTACTTGTGGGTGGGCTGGTGGTATCAGACCATCTCTTGGGCCAGTGGATTTCCTGTTGCCTCACTTGATTCGTCAGGTAGGTCAGGGTTTGTAGTTTTGGAGTGTTGTGGGCATTTATTTTGGTGATTTTGGATTTTAGTTATCAGGGGTGAGCCGTGGCAGCAGAGGTTACGGTGGGCTGTTGGGGCTCTTGCAGCTGCTGTTCTCGTTATCGTCTGCGTTTTCAGTTGTCTCTGCTGCAGGCGACAGCGACGAGCCTCCAAGGGCTTCCAGGTGTGTTTTACTAGTTTGGATTTTTAGGGGGGCTCAGCGCGATTTTTTTCTTCATGCCCATTTTACATGCGGCTTTCCTCGGTATTTCTCTGGTTTCTATTATTCAAATGCTGTATATTTGCTTTCGATTATAGAATTCTGGAGCTGAAAATACACAGGTAACGATCTGTAGGAAATTTGGATGTAGAGTTTGTAGAATTACGGGAGGAATTCTTTTTTCGTGCCGTAGAACATGTCGTAGAATCAATTCGTATTTAGAGTTCGAATATATATGAAATATATATTTTATTGATATATTTTATATATAGCTCTTTAATACGAAGTAGGTTTTGTAGAGATGGGGGAACCAATTAATTTTTGAGAGCAGTAAAACCAATCAATTCACGTTTTTAAGAAATGATTTCAATTAATTTGTCAATGAAATTACTTTACAAAATTCTTCAATAATTTCTGGATTTCGATGAATATGGAAATTACACTTGGAATTATATTTACTATTACTTTCAAACTCGTTTTGAATTTCCTTCTCGACTTTCAATTCAGCCAATTTAAATCACTTGGTTTCCCCTGTCACTAAATTATGAATTCCGAAAACACGTATCTCTAATCTCGCGAAATCTTCCAGGAATTCAAGGATGGCTCAGGCCTGTCAAAGGACGCGATCCTCTCCGGAGGGCTCTCGACGTTGGAGCTGGAGGTGCCTCGATCGACCTCAAATAATCGTGTAGAATTCGAGCCTCTGCCAGTGGAGCGTTTCGTCCAGGAACCGCGTCCACCTGGAAAACCAAAGCCACCCTCGCCGTCGCTCTTCGACCGAGAATTCGATAACGACGAAAACGGCGAGAATCCTAACCGTGAGTGGTTCTCGAAGGAGCTGCACATCCCCCGAGAGCGTTTGAAGTACCTCCGAGAGATCGGGAGAGGATGGTTCGGTAAAGTTGTGGAGGGTACGCAGGATCTGAATGACTCGGGAACCCGGGGGATCGTTGTGCGAATCCTAACGGAGGAGGCGACAGCCAGCGAGAAGGCGTGGTTTCTGGGTGAAGCACTGCCATACCTGAAGCTTCGACACAGAAATCTCCTCGAGTTGTTGGGCACTTGTCTGGAGACAGATCCCTATCTGCTGCTCTTCGAGTCATGTCCCACAGGGGACCTTAAGTCCTTTCTGCGAGCGAATCAGAGGTCTGAGGCCCTCACCACTGAGAAAATTCCCTTAAAGATGTCTCTGGATATTTCTTCAGCTCTTGGACACATGCACAGCCACGGTTTCGCCCACACAGATCTGTCTGCCAGGAACTGCCTAGTCTCTCCCACTCTCTCAATAAAATTAGGGGACTACGGCATTGGAGTGGAGAAGTACCCGGAGGACTACTACGTCGTGGGGGACAGAGCCCTCCCGATCAGGTGGTCAGCCCCTGAGAGTCTAGTGTGCACAGACACGACTATCGAGACTCGAGCGATAACTCCAAGGGCCAATCTCTGGAGCTTTGCCATTCTTCTCTACGAGATCGCCTCCTGGGGGAAGAGACCCTACGACTCTCTGGGGGACGAGCAAGTCATCGAGATGATCCTCTCATTAACGTTCGAGTCTCACCTGAAGCTCGAGGAATTATCCAGCTCTAAGAATCTCGTGGAGGCCCTAAAATCTTGTTGGAAAATAAATCCCAATGACAGACTTGATCTCGAGGATGTGATTGAGACCCTCCGGGGGAAGGAGTTGGATTTCGATGAACGTTGGCAGACCCTGAGGCCAAACACCAAAGAGAAGAGTGTGAGTCTGAAGGAGTTGAGAGCAAGTATGGATTCGGATTTGTGGCAGGGATTGCCTGAGGAGAAGCCCTCGACGACTCCCCAGGCTCGTTTCAGACTGGGACCAGAGGAGCCTTTGAAGCACGAATTGAGGACGCAGATGAGCCAGGAGTCCGGGTCTGAAACCGAGGAGGAGAGTTGGAGAGGGCGAGTGGAGCGCGGGGCCTACACTGAGAAAGTCAAGCAGAAGTCTAAGTCGATAGCTGATTTGATGGTTCTAGTGCACATAGACGATGACTCCGAGGCCGAGTGGTCTCTGGGGCAGGTGGCTGACAGACCAAGGAAGAAGGTTAATTCCTCTGGGAGTGTTGGGGACCTACCCTCAGTGATTGCTGATGAGTTCGACGAGGCTTTGAGGAAACTTCGAGATAATATTAGTTCAAACAACCCAGAGAGGGATCTAGGAGGTGAGGAGGTAATTGAGGTGACGATCGAGCCCATCCCCAGAGCCATACGCGAATTCAGCTCGACGCCGAAGTCCTCCAGGACACCTGAGCCTTGCGAAACCGATACCAAGGATTTCGTGGACGTCGAGCTCTGGAAGAACGCCCTAGAGTTCGAGCTGGAGCGGAAAAATCCGGGATTCGAGTCGATAAATTTTGAGGAGATAATCCAATCAGATAAAGTGGAAACAGTTCCTGACCTGATGGAGACATCATCAGCTCCAGATACCCCTCAATCCAGGGGTGAGATATCAGTGGACAATGAGGACTTCTCCGAGGACTCACCGGAGGACAGGAGAAAACCCAACCACGAAGAAGAGGATGAGAGAAAGCACTTGAGCACTCCCGACGACGAAAGGAGCTCGGACAGCGGTTTCAGGGACAAAGAGTCCTGCGAGGAGGAGGAGAACAACGTTCTATTTAACTCTGGAATTTCCCATTCAAACACTGAAGAAGAACAACTCAAGATTCTTTATGAATTGGATACAATTTTAGATGCTGAGTATTGTGGAAGTTATGAGGAGGAGAGGCCTTCCAATACATTGAAAATCAGTCACGAAGATGAGAGCACAGAGAGCATCAGCCAACCCACTGAAGTCTTAGATCTCGAAAAGGAGAGGATCAATGGGACTGTAGATAATGTAATTACTGTAGATAAAGACCTAGAGAATTGTACAAATAATATTAAACACGAGCCCAGTGGATCGAACCTGTCGAGATACAGTGAGCATGATGATCACGATGCTGAGGACGACGACAGCTCGACTATGTCCCTGAGAAGTGACAACTCGTACGTTTCGTTTAATCTCGATGAGGAGTTTGTCGCTGCCATTAGGAATGAGTTGAGGGAAAAGCTGCCAAGGGCCCAGTTGGCTGTGGTGGAGTCACAGGAGTTGAGAGACGACGAGGAACCGTCTGTGAACAGTGTCCACGAGGAAGAGGCCTCATGGGGGCCTAATGAGGAGGGCTCAGGCCCTGGAAATATTGATATTGCTATTAGGTACAATGTTTATGGGACTCCCTTGAGTCCCATCCTCGAGGAAAGGGAGAGTGCTGTGACGTCTGAGTCGTTGGCATCGAGGGAGGACTCGAGGGAGGTCTCAGAGGGCTCCAGGTTCTCTCTGTCGGAAGATGTTATCGTCGTGGACACCAGGACAAATCGAGTTGTTCTTGTTGAGGGTAATGGAAAAAATATTGAGGAGGATAGGGATACGTGTGCAGATATTTCGGATGATGAGAGTGGTGAGGGAAATGTTAGGGCTCAAGTGAAGGGGAAGACAGGTGGGGCTCCACTGCCAAGTCCTGAGGAGGAGTCCAAGTGGCAGGCCCAGTTTCCTATTCCTCTTCAACTGCAGGATGATCTCATGTCCACGAGTTTCAGCACTGAACACGAGTGGGACAGCCAGGATGAGGATGAGGAGGCTGGGGGAGAGGAGAGCCGAGGGGCTGAGGTGGAGGATGGGAACAGCTCTAGCTCCGGGGAGTTCGTTTGGAAGAGGTACAATGAGGAGAGCTGCAGGGAGGAGGTCACACCGACCAGTCAGAAAATCGACGAGGAGGATGACGATGAGGAGAACTGCAGGGAGGCGGTCACACCGACCAGTCAGAAAATCGATGATGAAGATGACGATGAGGAGGAGGAATTCACACCCTCAGCTTGGGATGCTACACTGGCTCCTCATAGATCTGCACTCAGATCACCCGAGAAGAACGTCAAGAGTGGGGTGAGTTTCCTGGGTGAGGGGGGCATCATGGATGAGGGAGGTATTACGTAAGTCTCAGGAGTTTTGTGTTTTTTCTTGCTCCCAGGATGAACTGGTAAATTATGGATTACATTTTGATGTTGGAATGCTTGTGTTGGGCTTTTAATACTCTTTTGCACACGTTCACATCACAGATTCTGGGGGCTGCGGGATATACAAGCACTTGGATTTTTCGCTTAAAAATTTCGTTGCCAGATATTTTTTATCATTTCGGATGTCATTCTTTTTTTAAAGTTCAATTTTGAAGAGAGATGCCGAAAAAATTGAAAAATTCATTTTTTGAATATTAGAATATTTTTTCAAACATCAGGCAAAAAATTTTTATTGCTCAACAGCTTCCTGGAAATAAAATTTTATGAAATAAAAATAATTCGAAGAATTTGATAAATACAGTATTTTCTGTGAATCAAATTTAATTACAGTATCAGACACGAGGTTGATGAAACTGATATGATAACTTGAATATCCTCAAGCCCTAAATTATTATCTGCACTTCTGGAGGTCTAAATAAGATTCTCCACTCTCAAAAAATTCTTCAAAAAAGCGAACGTCAATTTTCTGTGGAAGATGTTCAAAATAATCGAAATTATGCATAAGGCTACCGAGAGCTGAATAATTTGAATGATTATTCATAGAAAGCGAATGTCGAAAAAAAAACTTGCAAAATGTGACTTGAATGACGCTGAAACCGAAAAAAAAATTTTTTCAAATTCCCATACTGCAATTGCAAAAGGTACTCGGCTGAGTATTTGCCTGACAATCCAGATGAAAAATAACCGTTCGAATGCTTGCAGGATCAGAAGAAGAACGTGTGGTTCAAGAAGCAGAGATACCACTGTGTGTACGAGTACCCGAAGGAGACACAGTCGTCGGATTTTCCGAGTCCAGCAGCAACGACATGGGAGCCAACGTCGTACGTCGACTGGGAAGAGATGATGGACGAGCCCCGTCTGGACGTCTACCCCCTGGACTACGATGATTCGAATCACCTGGGTGACGACGAGTTCTTCGTGAGCAGTGGTAATAGACCCTTCCAATTTCAAGCTGGGGATGGGAAATACGTGAGTCAATTTTTCCCAGGGGCGAACGTCGGCACAATCGACGACGACGTCACAGCACCCAGTGACAATCACCAAGTGCAGCTCGGAGAGCTACGACACACTCGTGACAAATTGAAGCTCAATCTCCCCATCACCCAGGAGAATCACTCGGTGCCTCAGGTGTTCAACAACGAGTGCGACGAGGAACCAACAAACGACGAGAGAACTGAGCGCAAGGAGAACAGCTCTGAGTCATCTCTCTCCAAGGACGAGCAGTCGATTAGATCAATTCTTAGATCTCCAGAGTTGTCCCCCGATGAGAGGAAAACAGAGGACGAGAGTGCAGACGAGGTCAGCGAGCTCGAGCCCTCCAAGACTGATAACACGAGCCATCCTAAATCTTCCGGGCGGCCCCTTGTCATCTCCAGTGGAGGAGACACTGAAATAACAGGTGGTGAACGTCAGAAGTCTCAAGGCAATGATCAAGAAAATGGCACTCCCAAGGATGAAGGAGTAGTTCAACCCTCCAACATCGAAAATGTCATAGAGACACGCAGTGAGATTGAAGAAACAGAGAAAAATGGTAATCCGGCCTGAAACGTCCATGTCATAATTACATTTTAGAGTTCAACCGTCCGAGGAGGGAAGATTGCACTGTTGATAAATTTCCAGAGATAAACTCAAGGCCTTCTGTGAGAATTTTATAGAAAATTGTCGCATTTTTTGAGGATTATTTTAGCAGGGAAGTGGGTCAGTGAGAGCAGTCGAATTTGAATGTTTTTGAAAATTACGTTTTAGAGAAAGAATTAGTGAATGAGAAAAATTAGATGGAAGTATTAAAAGACTTTTTTTCATGGGAGTTTAATTGGCTCAGGAAAAAGTATTTTGACTTTTCCATCGTGAACAGGGAGAGAGTTTTCAGAATCAATCGATAATGATTCGATAATCGATTATGATAAAATATGAGAGGACAATTTTTTATAGAATTCTGACAGAAAATCAGTAGCATTTTTCGAAGGAAGCGGTAGGTTTTTCGAAATTTTATCATAATTTCGGTAATTTCGAAAAGAGAAAGTGGCATAAGTCAAAAATAAGATTAACACGTATGGAAAAATTCGACGTAACAATTCCCTTGGAATTCTATTATTTTTCTTTCAGATTTGTGACAAAAAGAAATCGACAAGTTTTTGTTGCCATCGATTCTGATGAAATTTTTAGGTGAAAAATTCTCGAGTACGATTTTCTCCGGAATTTTTTCATACGTGAAGACAAAACCTTTTAGAGAGCTCAATTGGCCAAGTCCGTCCGCAGATGAACTCCTTCACAAAGAGAAAAAGAAAAATTCATTTTTGGTCTTGTAAATATTCAGAGTACACGTTCATAGATTAAGTACTCTTTCAACTTTAGTTGATACTTTTCAGATTGCGATAGTCTGGAGGTCTTTACCGAATGTATATATGTATTAATTTAATCGTAGATGCACCAGAGTCGTGCCTAAACATTGAAGTATCCTCATTATTATTTTAATCCGTGGTAAAAAAAATCTTAAGCGTTATTTTCTCGTTGAGCATTACATTAATATAGATAATAATTTGTTTTAACAATTCATCGACATAATATGAAAAGGGTAATTTTCAAAGGTACTTTTTAATTGTTATTCGCTAGCGCCAAAACAGCTCTCTATTCGTCGAAACGTATTTATTAATTTCGCGATGAAATAAAATGAAAAGAAAAACGAGGAAAAATGGTGGGAGAAATATCATTTGAGCAAGTTAGCCTGTGATAATGGAAACTACGAGATATTTTTTTTTTTTCTACATTTGGAAATGGATCTGTGATTGATGATAAAAAGGATGGAAAGATCATTGATTACTTTTTTAAGTATTTACCTGAAATTTTCGATTAGATTAAACCGAGAATATGCTATTGACAAGTTCAACGCACAGTTACGTAATTTTTTTTAGAGTAGGATTCACCGATTCTATTGCACCATTAAAAGAGTGGAGAAATATTTTTTAATCATTCAATATATTCAACAAGTGAATACCAAAAAAAAAGGAAGTGGAAGCAATTTGAACGTGTTTTCTTACGTATTTTCTAACTGAGGAGTATTGCAATATTAATTTTATCCCATTAACTCGACATTTCGCTCATATTAATTTTTTTTTAATACGTAAAGCATTTCGTTTATAAAAATAGTACGTCACGTGCTCGAGAGCTTTATTTTACAGTAATAAATTCATGGAATCTCGAGGGAAATCAAGTAAACATAAGTTATTTACTATTGAAAAAAATTAAATCAAAGGTGCAGTAAACCGACTGAATGCTCTCGAAAGCAAAATATTACGACAATGAGGAGTGAGTCACCAAAAGATAGCAATTGTTATCGCTACATTGATAGGGACTGTAGATGCTCGGCTTTTCCGGCGGTCGTCATTCAAGAACACCCATATGCACCATCGCTACAATTTGTAGGATATTACAATGAATAGAGGACGATTAATATATTGCTATACACGTGTTGTTCTTTATCCATATCCCACTAATACTAATGCTCCATATATCCATTCTTCAATTCACTCTCGCAACATTAATTAATTCGATTATTAATTATTCCTAATATTTTCGATAGAAGAATATACTCTTGTTAAATCTACTCATCTACCACTCCCTATACTCTTAGAATTAAGACTGTTCAATATTAAATCGTCTCCGTAATCAATTATTTCCTGAGTTACGAAGATAATTTTTCGATTAGGTTCTATGGGGTTTCTATAAAAAATTGTTATAGTCTCTTCCAGTACGAGTGTTGGATATAGGAGAGATTTCTCAGTTCTGCCATATGATGACAAGCCCCTGGTGGTCTCCAGTGGCGAGATACGTCTCATCGTAGTTGAAAGCGATCGAGAGAATTGGGGCGGAATGCCCATGTAGTCTATTAACCTGGGCAGCTTTGCCCTCCCGGGCAGTATCCAACAGGTGAACAGATCCGTCTTCTGAGCCACTGGCTATCAGGCACGCGCCCATTCGAGGGCAGAACGTTGACCTCACTAGATACTGCCTTTGAAAAAGAAAAACAATCCAGAGATGTTCTTTATTGTTATCACACCCCAAGGCTAACGCTCTTGTAAAACACAAAAAAAACTTTCATATTATATAATTAAATTGAATTATTATCAAACATTAGGAAAACTAACATGCGAGGAATAATTAATATGATTAAGTGTTGAAGGAGAGAGAGGTAACGAACAAATGAAAATTCTATTTCAAGAGTGTCTATTTCAATGTGAAATGACTCACTGGTGCTTGATGGGGTATTTTTTCCAGACACTGAGCGTTCCCTGGGAGTCAGCAATTTTGTAAACAGAAACAGCATTGCAGGCACTGCTGACGAGAACAGTAGGCCAGGGAGACTCCCTCGAGAGCCAGGGTCTCCAGGATAGACTGGTAACTGCTCCTCCAAGGTTGTCAATCCTTCTGAGTTTAGAGAGTCTCCCAGAGGCTGTCTCCATTCGAAGACTGGTGATGGTTCCTCTGTCGTTGCCAGTCCAGATGAGAGAGCCTCCGCTTTCCTCACACGTCAGGGAGAGCATCTTTCCTCCAATCTTTGTCGTTCCTCCTCTGGGGTAGATCCCAGTTGATACGTTGAGAATCTGCAGGAGCCCCTGCCCATTTCCAGTGATTACGAGATTATTGTTTGCAGGGACAAACGCACAACAAAGCACCTCCGACCTGAAATTACCAAATCAATTGACACCGAATAAATAATTACAGGTAAATCCACGTGATAGTGACCTGAATGGATCGGAGACGACTCTCAGACAGACTGGACTAGCATCTCCATGGACTCCCCAGAGCCTAACCGTGGCATCCAGACCGGAGGACACGATGAGATCGTTGCTGATGCTCCAGTCGATGGCAGTCACCCCCTTTTGGTGACCCTCGAGCTTCGCCATCACCCTGGGGGGTGAATCTGTGACATTGCAGATGGATATCGTCCCATCGAAGGAGGCACAGCACAATTTCGACCGATCGTTGTTGGCGAATTTCAGTGCTGTGACACCTGCAATGTGCTGATCAAACACGTGGTGGACACCAGCGAAGGCAAAACTCTCAGCTGTAGATTTACGATTGAGTCTCGTGTGCGTAGACTTGTCGTCGGGAATCCCCAGGCCGTTGTACTCCGATATCGTGCCGTATCTTGATCTCAAGAGTTCTGCCCTGAGTTTGACGTATGTGGGACGGAGGGAGGGATCCTTGGACTCTTTGTCCCGGAGGAGTTGGGATCTACGACGTATATACAGCATCCCGAAGGCTGGTTGTGTACTTGTCCGACGAGTGTTGTATTTTGCGTCCAGGGCGAAGACCTGCTGAGGCCACTGGAGAATCCATTTTGAGGTGGTCCCGCTCATTTTCTCTCGGGTTTCATGGAGACTCGTGGAGCACGGGTTTCATTCCTGCACATGAAAAAATACTCGCGATTGTAAAAATCATTTTTTTCACGACCACATGAATTTTGCGTTTTACTAACATCTCAATTTGCGTCATTTTTTTTTAGAAATTAATCATTTCGGAATAAGGAATGCACGAATTTTTTCTTTAACTCATAATTCCGATCTTATAATTGATCTGTATATTAGCCTTGGCGATTTCTTATTGTTAGGAATGATTTCTAAATGTGAAAGTTTCTCCGTTGACCACATTTTTATTTACAACTGGTCCGTACGTCGACCTTGAGTATTTGTTGTTGTTATGAACGTTTTCCAAATGTGAAAGTATTTTTTGTTTTACAGTCGAAAAAAATCATGAATATAATTAATTTCTGGTGTTGATTGATTCGACTGTTCAATCCCATAATTGTGTCGATTCCTCTCGCGTAAATCCATGTTATTATTCCGATTATTAATGTAAACATTTTTTAGGTCGACTCCCTAACCTTGAAGATTTTCACGATCAAAACAGAATTATTTACAAATGTCAGAGGTTCCATCGGTGACAATGAAATGACTCACCTTTGATGGTAAATAGGTGCTATCGATATATTGGAGGTGCAATTACCGTTCCCATATTCTTCTGTTTATATTTACAGAGAAGTAAACAGCACCAGTAATTACGTCCTTGACTCCGTCGGTACTCCAGGACAATTGCATTCAAATAGTGACGTGTGGACGGGTATCACCGTATCCGTTATTCAAACTGAGATTCCGTCATCACGTGAAAATAGACAAAAGATTCTGTCAAAAGATTCTGTCATAAACGAGAGAATATGAGGAACCGCAATTTCAGTTTCTCAAAATACAATTTTTCCGTCAACCAACGGACGTTTTCAGTTATTTCCTCATCGAGGTAATAAATCCTTCATCATTAATTCGTGTAAAAATATGGAAATCATCTTTTTTAACTCCAGCTCCAGAGGACGATTTAAGATCATCAACGAGACAAATGAATTCAACAATTGATTTCACAAATTCACCTACGAAATTATAATAAAACTCAAAAACTAAAACAATAGAAAAATGGAAATAAAAATACATAATGTATATTATACTATAACTAAATACATTTATATATAAATATATAAAAAATGATTGCCTGTTCATTTTTCTCTGTACAAAATCTTTTACCAAATTCACCTATCATTTTTTTGAATTAATGAATTCTTATGGAATAATTGCAATGCCGTAATTCGCGATGGGTTTTTTTCCAAAATATAAAGAAAAATCCAAAAGTATCGAGATTATCAGAATTGTCTGATCGAGTTTTCTAGGAATTATAATACAATGTACTGAGAGATAAATGCAGTATCGGTAAGTTATATATTATGACAGTGTGACACATGATCTGTATGACTCAATTCAACTAGAAATTCTGCGTCAATTAAAATGCTTGAAAACTTCATCAGTTCTCTCGGATGTTAGAGCCGTTCCGGCAATCTATCACACGAATGAACAAATTCCGAAACTAGGCCACTGCATTAATTAATTAATTCTCGAAAAATCCCATCAGATCGAGCTGCAAATGACATCATCACCGATTACACTGCATCCAAGGCAGACGTGATTCAACGGATTCTCTTATTCATCCAAAAAAAAAAATCCCGCCTTTTCTATCATTTCAATTCAAATGTTTCCTCTCTCAAAATCATGGAATCCCAATCGATGAATTAATTAACAATGACTCCATTAATGAAATTCCCTAATGCTCTCAAACTTTCAAAAATCTGTCCTCCCCTAATTTAAAAACAATCACTAAAATAAAAAAAAGATTGCGAACCGCAAATTTGGAAAATGCGAAAACTCAGCGAATGACTTGATGACCTTCAATTCCAAATTCAACAATCACCATCAATCCTGGGATATCCCCAGGAAAAATATCCTGTAAAAATTCAAATTCAAAATAAGTCGATAAAATGTAAATGTAAAATTCGAATGACAAGACAACAGACAAGTGCGATAATGGTAAAAAATTGATTGAAATAGAATCACCAGTACATGACAATTTCCAAAAAAAGTGAAGTTATAATTAATCCCCTCGCTCCTCCCGCAGCGCCAGTTCGCTTCGTCGGTCTCTCACATATTTCCACGTTGAAGACCTCCCCGAGGGCCTCCTCGGTACATTCCACACCATAAGCCCCAGAAATACCGAAAAAAGTGGTGGATGAGGGGGGTTCAGGGAGTTGAGGAAGTGGGCAGAAGTGGATGAGGGTGCGAGAGAGTGAGAGAGTTGGAGGTGGTGCTGAGCTATGACCTCTCACTCAGGCCCGGGACTCCAGCGTGAGACAGAGAGCTCCCGTCCACTCCCGTCGGCCGCTCCTTGGTCTCTCCGGTCTCTCCGTGTCTCGTGTACCGACACCATCCAACAAATTTTACCCAGAGCAATATCCCGAAATCACTCATTATCACAATCTTCATCCGGGGAAGCAAGTGATTATTGAGTGTCGAGTCAATCGAATTGTTCGACGACGATGCAGGCCATCAAGTGCGTCGTTGTTGGTGACGGGTGAGTTAAATACACAAATCATTGTTGAGTGTTTATCGGGTACCGTCAACAGGGCGGGGAATTGGGGATTCGGAAACGTTCCAGTGCTACTCATTTATTACACTATTATTTTATTCTTTGAATTTCCTCTTTACCCCGTGATTAATTAGAGAGTAATCACGGGGTAATGAGGAAATTCATGAGTATTTTTCGGGCGTGGTGATACATTTGGCGCCTCGTCATGTTTTTATCGAGTTTAATTACCTCGTTATGACGATATCACTGTGGAGTACATCAATTAATAACGTGCTGATTCGAAATTTTTAGTGTCCTCGTTGTTAATTGATTTGGTGGTTTTCTTGTTATTTATTTTATTTTTTGACAATTGCTCTGGTATTTTTATTTGATGTGTCTGTTCTGTGTACAGAGCTGTTGGTAAGACGTGTCTGCTGATCAGTTACACCACCAATGCCTTCCCCGGGGAGTACATACCCACAGTCTTCGATAACTATTCGGCTAATGTTATGGTTGATGGTAAACCGATAAATCTTGGACTGTGGGATACAGCGGGTCAGGAGGATTATGACAGGCTGAGGCCACTGTCCTATCCCCAGACTGATGTTTTTCTCATCTGCTTTTCACTTGTGAATCCAGCGAGTTTTGAGAATGTTCGGGCCAAGTGGTATCCCGAGGTACGTCATCATTGTCCAGCTACACCGATTATCCTTGTGGGGACGAAACTCGATCTACGCGAGGATAAGGAGACCATCGAGAAGCTCAAAGACAAGAAACTTGCGCCGATAACCTATCCACAGGTACTTGTCTCATTTCGTTATTCATGATTTTGGTGGTCTCAGGAAATTGAAGGAGAGAGCGAAAATTTTATTGTAACCTCTTTTGTAGGCCTCGAGTAGCTCTGTAAAAAACATTTCAACAAATATTTTGATGTATCTCATAATTTTTGAGATATTTTCCCAAAATTCGGAGATAAATGCGACAATCTAATGCTATTTCTATAATCCCATGAGCTTTCAACTCTGAAAAAAAATCTAAAGTGCCTCAGCCTCACCTAAATGGACTTTGTGATTTAATTACCCAGCGTTTTATCAAGAATTCTACGGAATTCATATTCTGTGTCACATACTGAGTTCCTAGTTTTTTTGGTTCTTTTATTCATGTTCTCTTAATAATTCATAACTTTTGAAAAAAATGTGGAAATGAGATGAATGAATTATGTGATTTATTTCCAGGGATTGGCAATGGCCAAAGAGATCGGAGCAGTGAAATATCTCGAGTGCTCGGCTCTAACGCAAAAGGGCCTGAAAACAGTGTTCGACGAGGCGATACGCGCGGTATTATGTCCAGTTCTCCAGGCAAAACCAAAGCGCAAGTGTTGCCTCCTATAATATTAATTTATCAACGACGCCTGATCGACCCTCGAGCGTGTGTCACCTGTCGTCTCCGCAGCTTCCAAGTGAAGTTGAATTAGCGTGGATCAAGTGAAAATTTTTCTATTGTTTTTCCCCTTCTCCTCTATTATCGTAGGGAATGTGAAAAGAAAAATGGCAGGAGTTATCAGCGCACAAAATACCGAGTGTACAGAAGGAAAAAATGGAAGAGAGCTTATCAAATGTATTTAGGGAGGACTAAATACGAGAGAAATAATGTGGGATGTATGGAACCGCGTGGTTTCCTTTACTGGAACATTCAATGTACAACACTTTTTATTTTCTATTTAAATTACATTTTTCCTCGCGTTATCATGAATCACGATCGAGGTGAGTCAAAACTCAGCGTCGATGGAATTTACTGGAAGGGATGAGAAATTTTAATTACACAATTTTTCGAGAACAAGGACTCGTCGGAGTCGAGAATTGGAACCAATAGTGTACAGAGGAGAAGAAAACTAGAGAATATATGAATTGAGTCAGTGGCGAAGGTGTAATTTTACTTGAATGAATTTACAATTTTTCTTACTGATTGATTTGTTAGCAAAACTGTCGGTCTATGGGGAAAGGGTCAAAAGACTTTTTTTGTTGCTGATTAAATTTTCAACACAAAGTGTTTTTGATGTTTCCCTCTCAAATTAATAGTTTTTGAGATCAGTTGAGATTTCAGAAAATTGTAAAATTCTACTTGTACCATTTTACAACTTTTCCACTGAATTTTCTCATCTGTTGGCAGTAACTACTGTGATAATTCGATTGCCACAGCAGTTATTGGAGACTCGATGCACAATACAAAACCGTTTAGACGTAATGGAGGCGATTAACGAAAGAGAAATAGTTATAACGAGAAATTACGATAATTACATTCAAACCATGCTCTAGAGTCGTGCAAGTTTTAGGTTCGTAAGGGGAGGGGAGAGATCCAGAGGTTTTTAATGAGTGCATCTTTCAGTGCTCTCTCGATCCGCATTTATTGGCTTCGTTAGGAAATCCCAAATTTGTTGCTCTTGCACAATTTGCGGTTTTTTTTTATTGTGTAGGTTTTGTAAATCGTGACGTTTTAATTTTTACTATCTGAATTCGTCGATTATCTCGGGTAGATAGAGTTCCAGAGCGAAATATCAGAGGAACTTTTTGTATCTGATTAAATTTCAAACCGGAAGTTCCAGTGATAATTTTTTCTAGAGTCCTTCATCCTCGAGATAATGACAGACTCAGTGGCGAGTGAATCGAACATTCACGTTTTGCAATTTCTCAGTTGAATGATAGGTTTGAAAAGTAATAATAAAAAAATGTGAGTCATTCTCACCCGCCGTATGCCTACGAAGAATAGAAATTAAACACGATCGAGTAGTTGAGAGGAAAAATTCCGAATAAATTGCACCGAGAAGACGCATTAACAATAGGCCAATAAAATGTGAAGAACCAGAAGAAGAAGTATCCCACGATTTTTATTTCGATTCATCCTTGGTGTGACTAGGTAAAGTGTGGATGTTACGAACGCATGGGTTATAAACAAAATAAATAAAACGTAAAAAAAAAAAACTAGATGCAAGTGAGCGAGTGATGAAATAGAAAATAATTGTAAATAACTGCTGGAGTTCAAACTCATTCCTATTACTGTCATCATCGCGTCGTATGTGTAAGCTACTAATCGAATCTAAATCGAAGGGAGAAGAAACGTTACTTGTTTTTTATATATATATTTGAGTATATACGAAAAATGATTGAAAAGACCAAAAAACGAAATGGAAATTACGGGAAAATTTGTCGAGTGGCTGAGTTGTGCTTTTTGAGGGGAGAGTATTTTTTTTATGTGGATTGTTGCATAAAAATTGGGCTGGTAAATATCCTGTGCCTGGTTTATTATGCGCAAGATCCCTCAAGTATTCACTCTGCGATCTACTGACTGGAAAATTTTTCATGATTTATTTAAGTGGAGAATGATAAATCAGGTTTCAACTGGGAGTCAACTCGAGCCATCGAAAGCATGGAATTATTATAGATATTGTAACTAAATTTGCTTTATTAAATGGGTGTTTACTAAAACAGTGACATATCTCTCTTCCTCAAGCCGCAGTATCGAAAAATATTTTTATCAAGGCTGTCACTTGTTCCGGTGTGTATTTTATGTATTTCGCTGGATTCTTCGAGAACGGAGTGTTTCTGTATTTGTTGTAGAATATCGAGTACTGGGGAACGAGCGACTGCTGGAGCTCTCGACGGAGGGTCTCCCGAAGACGAGCGTCAGGCACTGAATAGGTTCGTTGGTTCTTCGCTGCTTCCTCGAGCTCTCGGGAGAAGCCGGAGAAACGCTCCTTCAGGGATTTCACTGCTAGCTCTGGAACATCGAGAATATTCAAGTCTAGAGTAACAAATCAATTGGCAATCCTTTTCAAACAATATCTCAGGATTTAAGAGATTGCATCATTTTTACGTAAAAAGTCGCGAGGAAAATTCTGTTATCTCTCTTGAATTAAAAAATATTATCTGATTGACAAATTAGTAAATTAGTAAGATAAACCGCGAAATTTCAGCAGTAAAACCTCTTAAAATATCATTCCGAATCATTAAATAATATTAAATTGGGGTTTCACACGTGAAAATATTGAATTTACACACCCGTTTCATCAGCAGAATGCTCTAGAAACGTTCGTGCCTTGGCAAATGTAGCAGAAACGTAATTAGTCTTGTCCTTAATGAGAAGATCCTGATAAGTCTGTGCAGCAGTGGATTCTGCCAACAGTAGCAGTTCCAACAGAGTACTGTTGCGCAGTTTCTCCACTACGTAATTATGATTATTCAACTTGAATAGAGCCCTCAGAGCTGGATCGGAGTATGAGGTATCACTCTTGCTGACGAGTGCGAGATTCAGCTGCGCGAGGACTTTCTCTGGCGCAAGGAAACGAGTAAATTAGTAAATAGACAATCAATCACTGCATTCACGGAGAAAATAGATTTCTTTTGCCAAATATATTTTCTTGTCATTATAAAATATTCTTGGCAAAGGAAATTGTTTTTCTCAGTGTCCGATAAAAACTCACTGATGTAGACACCGAGGAGAACCCTGTGGGTGTTTTCCGTCTGCTTCGCACTGGACGTCGATATCGACTCGACCTCATTGTTCCTGCGTAGGACGATTCCCGCTGTTTCGGCGTTCTCAGATAATTGCTCGAGAAATACTAGTACATTGCTCGTGGACTCGGCTACAGTTCCATCTTTAGGGAGTGCAGCTCCAGACTCATTTCTCACGCTTTCAGCGAAGTCTTCCAGAGCTTTCGCTCCCTATCACATATTCCAAAATAAATTCTTAGAATATTGAGGCATTACTCATTTCTTTTAACCGATTTTTCCTCATCAGCTAATGGTGCATTCCACGCGGATTAAAGATAGATAATGAAATCCAGAGTACTGATAAGTAATAAACTCTCGCAATAATGTCCAAACATCCCCTATCACTCACCGTCGTATTGAGAGTATTCAAAACCGAGGCGAATTTGGACCTGAGTGCATAGTCACATCCCTCAACAGTCCTTTCGAGATCGGGCTTGAGTTCCCCGAGGTGCTTGAGAATGGGAAATACAACGAGAACAGCCGAGAAGTCCCTACGGGTGATGCACCTCTTGGCCCTTGTAGCGATGCTCTCACCATCATGTGCAACAAGATCCATAGCATCCCTGACAGTTGCTTCGAGTACCTGTGGCTGTAGCAAACTGGGTATGATCCTGGCCACGAGACTTCTCTCGGCCTGCATCAGCCTGTGTAGACCAGCAGTCAGTAGCAAATAGTTCTCCATTTCCTGTTCATCAGGTGCAGCATCTTCAGGGGCATAATTGGAAGGTAAAGAGGGCATGGGTTTCCTGGAGGAGGGGAATGCGAGGCCAATGCCAGTGGACTGTGAGGCCCTCATGAGCATTTTGCTGGCTTTTTTCTCGATGGCGTGCTGGAGGCGTTTGGATGTTCTTCTGGATGTGGCCTCTACCCCAGAAGCAATGGAGTGTCGATGAGCGAATTTGGATCTGGGCATGGGGCTGCCGGCGTGGGTGCTTCCTCCAGAGGCAGAGCGTTGGTGCTCCTTGAGGAGCTCGAGGGATCTCAGGACAACGCCTGATCTCACAGACGAGTAGATTTTTGCGTGTCTTCGGTGGCCCCTCTCGTCCAACCATCCAGCGATCTTCACTAGGTCCCCCAGGGCGCTTTCTGGAAGCTGATTGAGGGACTGAGGTGCGTCCTCTCCGCTGGTGTCCTCGTCGGAGCCAATGAGGTCCAGCAGGACAATCGGGAGGATAGGCTTGCTCTGTCTCGCCAGGATATCGTGGAATTCTGAACACAACGAGTCCAGGCCCACGTTGAACAGCGTCGAGATGTTCTCCAGCTCCACAGAGCTAGGATTGTTCTTCTGGAAGTATCTCTCGGCGTTGTAGAGGCGGTTCATGGCGTCGAGGAAGCCGTCGAGTCCCCCAGCTCCACCGGGACCACTTCTCACTGCACCCTCCACCTCCTGGCATACCCCGTAGTAACCGATCGCGTGGTCCAGGGCATTCAGGGTCCGCTCTATGTTTTGCTGCTGGCATTGGAGATTTCCTGTTTCGTTGTACACTGGGAGAATTGTTCGTCGGAGGGTCGCAAGCCTCTGCTCCAGGGACCCTAGGATTGCAACCATTCCACTTGTCAGCTTTTTACTCCGATCCTCTGCATCTCGGAGAGCCTCCATCGAGGCCATCTCAGCCTCTAGCTTACATTCTATCTCGAAACGTCGCTCCGATGTGTCAGTTTTCATTTGCATGTTGGTCAAAGTCGTGAAGAGTTTTTAAAACTCTGGGAGTTGGAAGAATATGATGAGTACATGTCACCGGATGACGTTTATATTAAATCTATCCTGACTTACCTTGACAATTGACAGAGTATTTATTTACAGCACCATTCTCAACACCTCCCAGTCATAAACTACCTAGGTGGACTCCAGAGAGGCATCTCCAACCCTCCAAAACCCCATTATCGCGACATCTACTATCATCGCCGATTAATCGAAAAAACTGATACTGGTGAGAAAATCGATATTTTTATTCGATGTATCCAACCCTCGATTAATTATTTTTTCATAATTGTGTTCAAAGGGCGTAATTTTTTCTGATTTTTTGACCAAACAAAAGCAAACATAAGCGGTTAAATTTGAAAGAAATAATAAATCTGATTAATTTTCCATCTCACGTGTGACGAAAAAAATAGAACTCGGCATCAAATATAATAATTCATTTTGAAAAGAAATTAATAATCACCACTGAACACTGAAATATCGATTCTTGAAAACATTGAATTTTATTTAGAAAATTTTCGGATCAGCTGCAATAACTTGTCCAGCCGAATAATAATCACATTTATAATAATTTATAATTACTAACGAAACGTGGACTAATGGATTTTCAAAAATTCCAAAACAAGTGGTCGAGACCCACAATCCCTTTTCCATCGATTTTCGGCCAATCGATTTTCTCCGAACACAGCAAATCCCCTGGCGCCATCTTTCAACCTGCCCCCTGAAACGCGTTCCCCGATGAAAATCAGGCCAAGTCGCAATTTCCAATCAGTTATCCTGGGATTGGCCCTCGCCATCGGCTTCGCCATCGCGGCCCGCCCATTGGTGAATCCATCAAAACTCGCACAAGCCTCACCCCCTCCCAGATGCCCGGATCCTCACATCAATACCGAAGGACTTACCAAAGCGATCCTCCAAAAATTGCCTCAGCCCTCCTAAAACCTCGCGTTCATCCCCAAATTCCTCCAAATCGTTGACCTCGACATGGCAACCCTCAGCGGGTGACAGAGGGTCGGAGGCAGGCGTCAGAGGGGAGGTAGATGGTCCTGGAGTGGCAGAACGATGGGTACGTGTAGGAATTACGGGGGAATGAGGGGCACTGAGGGGTAATGAGGGGTGAAGAGTGACTGCGTGAGTTTGAGCAAAAGACAGTCGTTTCTCTGCTATCATTCCATTTTTTCGGGTGCGCCAACGTTGGAGTCGTGACGCTGTAAGCAACACTCGTGTTCCTATAGTGCATTGAAAGGGAAAACGGGGACGAGAGTGCAGTAGAAAAAGACGAGCACTCAATCGACGTTGAAGAAAAATAGATAAGTGGTGGGGGGTAGAATAGTGGATAGAGGGAGGGGAGAAAACAAGAGGAATCGGCGGGCAAGAGCGTCAGGAGTTTTTAGCAGGACTGAACGGGCACCGAAGGAAAAAAAAAACGCTCGTCGTAAACGCGTCATGTTGAAAATTACGGCCAAACAAGGATTATTCAGTTGATGCCCAGTGGTGTGTGATGTGATGGAATTTGGATACGGTATATGTACGTTATTACGTGCTCTCGGATGGCAATTGTACACGGGTTTGGGTGTGACGAGTTAATATCTGCGTTGTACATATATATCAGTTTTTTTTTTTGTTAGGGATTCCAGGGGCTGCTGGGCTTTCACGGTGGGTACAGAGGGCGGGGAGGGAGTTTTCGGTGGGATAAGGGAGTGCGGGAGCTCGTGGTGAGCGTGACGCGAAGTTAACTCGTGCCTTGGAATTAACGCTGATGATTTAAGTTCTCACTGTGAATATCTGTGGTGAATTTAATCGGTGGATTTATTCCCGTGATTTCTGTATTGTCGATTTATTCAGTGAATTCGGGCCTGTGGGTATCGAGGGGCATGGGGACAGTGACAAAGACCGTGGACTGTGCTGTGAGAGGATAGCCGGGATTGATGGGTAAAGGACGCGGAGTTATAGGAATTCTTTCTTCAATTTTTTTTTCTCTTTTCCCAGCGTTTTTCTCCGGATTTTTTGCCGCCGCCATTTCCGCTAGTCGCACAACCGACAGCGCTCTGTGCGGGTCAAACGCGTGGTTTTTCAAACAGAATAGTTTGAGGTGAATTTCAGGGTGAGGTGTTATCTGAGGGAAGGGGGGCTTTTTTTTTGGGGGGAACAAGCTGGAGATGATGGCACCTGGGGGGAGGTGTCTCTGTCGTTGAACTCGATTATTATTTATTGCGTGTGTGAATCGTCGCCATCACGCCGCGCCCCTCTCGCTCCTCTCGCCCTCCCGTGGCTCAACGTCGGCGCGAGAGAGGCTTCTCCTCACTCCGTCCTCGTCTCGGTGTATTTAGTATACGTGGAAGTACAATCGTCGAATGGTTGAGGGTTCGGGGAATCTCTGGTGGGTTCGGGTTTTTTTTTTTAAATTATTTTTTATTTTTCTATCCGGGAATTTTTTGCGGGGTTAGGTAAGACGTTGGAATTATGCAACGAGCGGCGTGTGAGGATCCTCGATGATGGGGCTTACGTGAGCACCTGGGGGGACTGGTCCGAGGCTCAAATGAAAATTCTGGGGATCACGTGGTGATGCGTCAGGCTGAGAGGGCCCCCGGCTTCGGTGACGCCCTCCAAGAGCCGGCTCTTTTATTTTATCATTAGAGATTTTCCAATGTTTCTATTGTCTTCCCGGAATTTTAAATTGCCATGTTGACGACCTAATCAATGCATCGATGCATCAAAACAAAACCATTTTAATATTTTCAATACGTCGTTTGGTAGTTGAGAGACGTTTTTCTTTGTTGCGGTGGTTTTTTTTCTGTTTTTTTTTTTTCATCGTCGGTTAGGGTAAACAAGTGTTTTCAATTTAGGATTAAGTAGTTTCGTGGGAATGTGATTTTTTTAAATTGCGTTGTGCGTAAATGAGAAAATGTGAATTCTAAGTGATTCTAATAAATCCGTTCGTAATCGCAGATTAACCCTGAGGATATCTACACTAGTGTCTAAATTACGTCTTCTGATAACGTGAATTTTCCTGTTCTGCACTTGGAATCCAAAGTTCAATAATTAAGAAAGAGGTTAGTAAAGGCTGAGATGCGTAGGCTATGAAAAATCATAATTTTTGGCAAATGTTTGTTTTTTTAAGTGAGAGGAATATTTTTACTAAAACAAGGCAATTCTCTTGTCATAATTTCATATCAACATTTCATATTTTTCGTCAGAAGTATTTCGATCAATTTTTGAATATCAAGTCAATAACGAAAAAACAATCAGTAAGAAGTGATGGGAATTTTTATAAGACCTCTCTGGTAGTCCTCTGTGCACTCAACAAAAAAGGTCTTATGAAAAATCTCAGTTCCTCTCTCAGATTCAGAGATGATCCCCGATCTCTCGATTGAGGAACGAGTCGACTTACCCTTTATCTCGACACTAACATGATCATCTTCCGACATAATTAATACATTTAATGAGGTTTTCCTGGAAATGATTGGGTTGACAAAATGTGTGATATTTATAAAATTAATGTTTATACCTTAAAAATCTCTTGAAAATAATCTGAAAATCTCTTTAAAATAAATAACTCTGTGTTTTTGTTTGCCCACAGAGAGATGATAACCCGCCACACTAGAGCCTGATGATGTCTTGCGTCCAGGTGGCCGGAAGAGAAAGATAAGACATTGATGATAGAAGTCAGAGAGGAAAATCAAAAGTTAAAGGAAAAAGAAAAGGATAAAGAAAAATAATAAAAGCAGAAGGGCCTTCCCCACGTTCGAGGAGTGAGTGATGGATGAATGGGAGTGAGTAGGGCGCCTGAGCAGCACAGGCGCGGGTGTAGGTGCAGTTGGGAGCCTCTGGATGTCGAGGCAGTGTCACCGTCAACGTCAGTGGCAGTGATGGCCCCTGCTCTGACGGAAGGTGGTCCTCAAAAGCCCAACAACATACTCCCATTACCATCTGGTGGTTTTCTATCCCCAGATAAGGCTGCGCAGGTCTGTAACAATCGCGCTGTACTTGCTAAATTCGTTGTAACAGCAAACGTACAGCCAACTAAAATAGACGAGCAGTGCCTGCGCGGCATATCCAAGGATCTAATACGTGATGTTATCAATTCAAAGTATGAAAATGGTATCGATTGCCTGTCAAAGTGTGTACTTGATGCAAGTGATGACCTGATACCCACTGATTTTTCCAAGGACATCGATATACTCAGAGTTGAGGAGGATAATTACGATAAACGTCACGTTGACTTGGATGTTGTTAAACGTCCTGGTCATAAGGATAGCAAAGTGTCTGAGGTGAGTGACGCTATAATGAGCGAGCCATCTGCTGGTGAGCAAAACGACGAGATGGGATTTATTAAAACTGATGTTGCACCAATGGTTGCGCCCATTATCAATGCTGACGATAAGGATATTGAGGGGAGTATCATGGACATCAGTGCTGACATTGAGGACAATGTTGGTGATATATCTCAGAATGTTGATGATATTCTCGATGTTATTCAGGAGATTGAGGATGAGCAGATCGGTGGCGGTGGTAATGAGGGGTCTGGTACTTTTAACATGTCCCAGGGTTTCTCCTCCCTGCCAGATCTGCTCAACGACGTTGATGTTGATGTTATGGGGCTTGTCAGTGACAATATTGGAATTAATCTTGGGCATTTGAATATTGCTGAGGCTGAGGAGAGTGTTGAGGCTCAGAGGGAGCAGCTTCTGGGGAATAAGCACGAGGGGGTACAGCATAGGAGCTTTGAGCAGGACAGGAGGACTGCTTTTCTCATGAGGCGGCTCAGAAAATTACAGGCCAGAACCATTGGCAGGCATATTGCTGAGGAGAGCACTGGGGTACTTGAGCTTGCTCATCACAGTGTTAAGAAGTATTTTATGCAGGAGCTGCAGAGCATTGGGGCAACCAAGGGGGCACCCAGGAGTCTACCCCAGATACCTGAGGATTTGAATGCTTTTATCAGGAGTCTTGAAAAGTCATGCGCTGCACAGAGCAATACTGTTACTGCACAGGGCAACAGGCAGAAGAATTACTGCAGGTATTTTGGGGCCGGCTCCAGAGATATTGGAGTGCCTGGAGGATCTGGTAGCAGACACTCGCCTTTTACATCAGCTCATGTTAAACTCAATAGTGAACAAGTGGAAAATGTTGCTGGATCACTAGCTACACAGCTTCACACTGTCGAGACACATCTTGATTCTGATTGCACTGCATCCAGCAGTGGGGGCGAGAGCTGTGATGAGATGCAGAATTATAATAATCTTCATCAACAACAATTATCTATGTAAGTCGTGGGTTATCGGGCCTGGAGGTTTCATCAGGTCAATCATCTTTCATTGATTGATAGTATTTCTGTTTATTTTTGTTTTAATAGTTTGACATTTTGTCGTTGAGGTTTTATTTTTCGATGCAATGAATTCTGATGATTCTAGTAGTTCCACGTGGCCATTGAGCGGGAGATTTGCTCACACGCAGTGATGTTGCATCATCGGTATAAATCGGGGACTAACTCTTTTGATCATAATTACGAAATCAAAAACTTTTGTAGAAGGAAATCACTGGTACAATGTTTTTGATTTTTATTTCGGTTAGAGACATTTTTTCGGTGTGGAACATCTACAAGAATAATTTATAATGACTTTCGTAATTAATGATTAATTATTGATGACTCATGCTTAGTGTTTTATTGACTCATTGGCGTGGTACAGAATTATTTACAAATGTTTTGGAATCGACCTTGTTATCTACGTTTTACTGACGTTCTGAAAATATTTCTGTCGACTGAAATGAGATGAGCAATGACGCAATTCCAGTTTTCGGGGGATTCATTTTTCGGCGATGCTCGTGGAAGAATTTTTATGGGAAGAATTTCAAGTAGTATGTGCTTGAGAATTATTGCTCGTTAAAATTTAATAGCCCTCGCATTGATTTCCATCCCCTCGACGGTGATACGAATTCATCGTGCATTATGAATGTCCAATTGGGGTTTCACCGAGAACCTCTAGCAACCGATTCGAAAATGAATTAGCTCGGTTCTAGACAATTACTAACACTCATAAACATTATATATATTCTCAGATTCCAATAATTACGGTGATAAGTGAATTTCTCAATCAAATTACGTTGGAAGAAATCTAAAAATTAACGAATATTCGACATCATTGGAATTATATTCCAATTGTTTGTGAGTGCCATTTATTCCATAGATCTTCCTCCAGAGCAAATTCGATTTATTTTAAAATCACATATTACATACAAATGAAAAATCGATAAAAAAATAATTCTACCTCCACAATTCTTGACCAGACGAAAATTCAAACACCTGGATATGTTAAATTAACAGAATAAACATGTTTTCTCCACCAGATCGAAAAGAGCGGGGTGGAAGTACGCCCAGGAGCGTGCAGGTATAGCTTCCCGGTGGACGTGGCTGCAGGCGCAGATATCGGACCTGGAGTACAAGATCCGCCAGCACAATGAGTTGCAGCGTCAGATGAGGCTGTCAAAGGGTCTTGCATACCTGGATAACGCCGAAACAGTGAACGGTTACAGTGGTGTTTTGCCAGGTTCAACGTCTCGACACAGTACATCAGAGAGCGAGGGGAGTCCTTCAACTAGTAGAACGCGCCCCTTCCTCTGGGATGTCTACAGAAAGCGAAAATTACTGAGGCTGGAAGGTCTGCACGAGTACTCGAAACGTGCAGCAAGACCATCGACAGTGAGATGCGAGTGCGATGGAAGTCTGGCATCATGCGCCATTTGCACAGGTCGACGTGACTCGATGCAGCCTCAGGAGCCCTTCGAACTGCTCTCAGTCCCTGAAAGAATTGCCCTGGTCGATCCTTCCTATCATCCAGTCCTCTCTTTCCCTGAGGACGTCACCCACAGCACCCACTTTGAAGCAATTATGAAGACCATTGACTGGCAGCAGAAAATCATTCGCGCCAATGCACGAAGTGCCAGGGCGAAGGATAAGGACTCCTCGGATAGACGAAGCAAAGCAAAGTTACCAGAGCATCGGACCAAGTACACCACCACAACGAGAATTAAAAAGGCATCGTCCGCGTTACTATCAGCAAGAATCAAGAGGAAGATGCTCAAGGGCAAGAGGGAGCTGGGGGGACAGGGTAAGGGACTTGGTATCAGGAAGAGGGCACCCAAGGTGTCACATCCTGATGATGATGACGATATCAGTGCACAGTCTAGCTCAAGTAAACACTCGTCACCAGTGCCTTCGCCCTCGCAGCATCCCACTGCCACCACTGAAAAAGGACCCACTAAGGAGAGAAATTCAAATTCACAGCATAGGCCCAGACGAAATTCATATGATATCGACAATATTGTTATTCCGTACAGCGTGGCTGCATCTGCTAGACTCGAGAAGCTACAGTATAAGGAAATTCTAACACCAAAGTGAGTTGTTTTATCGTTTAGTGGGAATTTGCTCGGTCGACCTGTAATTATTGGAAATTATTCCTTTATTTATTTTTGGGGGGGGTTTCAAATGAGTTTTCAGTTTGTGAAATTCTACCGTTGGGTTGAGATATCCGAGATAAAAATTCATTTTTTATTTGATTTAATAAATGGTCCTTACGAGAATTACTGTACGTATGTTGAATTGAAAAAAAAATCGAAAATAACTGAACGTCCATTCAAACTCCCACTGCATAATTTAATTAACGACCCTGTGTTCATGGATTACCATTTTTGGCAATGAGCTTTCTCTTTTAACGATTCTCGAATTTGTGTTTCTCAGGTGGAGGATATGTGGAGACCTGACAAAAACGGATGTAAAGAACGGTGTAATGCACAGGCCTAGTCAAGACAGTGATGTAAGCCTCGTTTCAATGACTAATCGTTAATTATCGTTTGTTTACGTAATCTCTTGAGACTTTTATTATCTTTCGTTTTAGTTCGAGGATATGTCTGAGGAGACGATTATGCTGAGGCATGAGAGGAGTGAGCGCGAGGAGAGCAAACGATTTAAGAGTTTGCTGAACAAGCTGCCCAACAATAGATTTCGTCATAATCGTCGAGCAGACAGTCGAGCAGACAGCGGTGCAAATACACCAGGTATTGATGCGAACGAGATAGATTTTATCAGAGAATTAACAGAGTCAGGAGTTCTAATCATTTGCAATCCATTTTTGTCCAGATCCAATGTCACCTCATGCCAGTGATTTCGGTGGTGATGTCACACCCATTACTTCTCCCCCAGCCACACCCTCTGGAACACTGGAAACCGAACATCACGCTATGATGGATCATCGCAATTCTACCCTGCAGAGTACAGTTCGACGACGAACCAACTCGTCGTCGATGAGAGTCACCAAGGAAGATGCTGCGAGTTCCATTCACGAAGACGAGAATGAAGTGAGTGATTATTTTTTATAATTATCTCGACCACAATGACTTCCATTGAAAAATCTCATATGAATTTTGAATTTGAAAAACCTGAAGGATGACTGAAAAAAAGTGAAATATTCCCAAAAAAAAAATATTTTCACAAATTAAAAAATCATCGAGATCAAAGACGTTGAAATTGAATCCATATGTTTTGTTATCATTTGAAAATATTACGGAATTTTTCTTGCGCATGAAGAATTGAGAAATTTTAAATTTGTAAAATTTGTCGCGCAAATCAGGTTCTGCCGTACGAACCCCGAATATTCCCGCTGCCAGAGGAGCTGTACGACAAGATGCTCGAGGCGATGCCGGCGGGCCATTGGCAGAACACACCACCAGCTCTAGCCCCCCCGGAAGAGAAGATCGATGAGGTAATAAAATCCCAACAATGAAAATCTCCCTCCCTCGAGTGGTTTTTTTCTCACAGACTTTTGAATGCAGGAGGTAGAGCTGGACCCCTCAGAATCTGACACAACCGAGTCAGCTTACTGCGATGCAGATGGCGAAGACCCCAACGACCCGGAATGGACAGAAGCGGACGACAGGGACGCTGAAAAGGAGAGAATACGCTCGACAGCCAAAAGATAGGAGATGTTAATGATAATTGTCAAACAAACTCTAACTGGCTGTCGTGCGTGTCTCACTGAAAACCCGTCTATTAATTATCTGGATGGTATTCCTGTCAATTTGTTATATATAGCTGTCGGTAATGTGACATGCACCTTAAGTTAATAGTATTACGATTCTGTAAAGTGTATTATAAATATAAATTTTATAACATCATTTAATCGCTTATAATCAATTCGCAGGAGGGATGCAAGTTAAACTGAATTACCTCGAGCGCTTATTTTCTTGTGAATACGAAAAAAAAATTGAGAAAAATAGAAAATGATTAAAAAAAAAATGAACTTAGGGAGTTATAAACAAGTGTAATTAAAAAATTGTCGAGCAGTGCAGCGAATGTTAATTTAATTCAATTTAATGCCGTCTTTCTTCACTAGTAAATGAAATTGAAAACGCGTTTAGAGAACTGATATTATGTCAAGTTTTTTTCATTTTTAACTCAGAATTCACTGTTTAATTAGTCATGAATGCGATTCTATGCCCTGTATCTCCCATCATTTGTAAGGTTTTTCGGAAATAGGGAAAATTAATTGTTCTCGAGAGCGTACACTGAATCTCACTGGTCGCATTTGTTTTCATCAGCTTTTTTTCTTTTATACAACAAACAGGAACAAAATGAATGGAAAGTGAAATGTATTTATATTTCGGACGATTCATCAAACACTGAAATAAAAAAGTGCCAAGTCAAGAGTTTTTTTTTCTTTGTGTAATTCGAGTACTTGAGGCGTATAACAGTATAAAAATTATGATTACTAATTGATTAATTATTTTGGAAGTAGATGGGATTGACGTCGAGGGTTTTCAGGTCCAGGACGACTGCTGTATTGGTCGTGGAGAATTTTGGTACAGAGATTACTCGAACTTCCTCTCCATTCTCACCTATCAGATGAAAAAAAGACATAACAAATGTGAAATATGTGAAGTACCAATTGTAATTGTAGTTTTTCAACCTTTTCAGACCTCGGGAATATTTTTTATCGTTAAAAAATAACTCATGCCGAGAATATCAACTATTCCAACTCAAATATTCTCAAAAATAAATTATTTAAACCAGATCAATCACAACTCGCTCACCTTTGAACATTCTACTCTCAAATTTCTCACAGTTCCCCACGAAATAAACGTCCGGACACTCCTGCATGATAAACAAATCCTTATCATGATAAGGATAAGAGGGAAGAGTGTCGGGGGCAGTTGGACAATAGTGTCTCCAGAGGAGAGTTCTCTCGAGCCACTCCACGGGGGTTGTCTTACTCGCCTCCCCACACACCCTCATAATGTCTTCGATGGGTTGTCCACTGGAGCCAGCGAACATCCTGCCCCCGATGGTGGCCACCCAGGGGTTGTGAACACCCCTGAAGTTCTCGTACTTGTGGGCGCCCTTCAGCATGAAACGGTTAATGGGCTTCTGAGGAAGCATGAGGTTTGTGGGATCGTGCTGTCCTGGCATGAGGGTGACGGGGCAATGTTCAAGGATATTCATTAATAATTCATCAAGTTTTTTCACTGCCGAGGAGATTTCAGAGGCCTCCGCAGACTCCTGAGCTCTGTTCGTCATGAGACCATTCGTCGAGGTGTAGCAATCCGAGGCTGTAGTCTTCACGCTGTTCCCAGCGATTATGAAATTGACGATCTTAGAGATGTCTTCTTGAGCTGTCAGGGTTCCCGCCATCCCCGTGATCCACTCTGTGAGGAATTCCAGGGCCAGGGTACCTGAATGATGAGCTAAATCCAGCCCAGAGACCAGTACGACTTTTCCATCGACCACTGCATCATTTCGAATGCCCTTCGGCGCACATCCTGGATAACACCAGTCCTCAACCTCGAAGGTCCCATCCTCCAGCTTCTGCCCCAGGACTGCCACCACTATCCCAGTCACTATCTCTGATATTTCCACTCTGGGACCCACTATCTTGATTCTCAACATTTCGTCTTCCAAGAAAGGAACGTCCTTATCGCTGCAGTAATTCTCGTGCTTCTCGGGGATCACTCCGGAATCCTGAGTCTCTTCGTTCAGCTCTCGCAGGATCGATGGCTTCCACAACTGGTGTTTGAACATCGTACCTATTATTACGCAACGAGAGTTCTCGAGGTCCTCCAATTCTGATAGCTTCAGGATTTTTACGTCTTCTCCTGGAGGTTTTTGCGATGTTCCATTAATTTATTTATAATTTTCTCAAAGCATTCAAAAGAATTCAACAGGTGACAAAAACTTTGGCAAATCATAATGGGAAATTACTCCCGAAAATGAACTCCATGAGATATGTATTAAAATGAAGATTTTGTCGTATTAAAAATTAATGAAAATTAATAATTATTTTGGCTCACTTACCCCATTTTTTATGAGCATTCTCCGTAAGACTTCCCCTCAACTCTTCGAGTCTGCAGGCATAAACATGGAAAAATTGTTTGGAGAATTGTTTATTCTGTTGACTGAATCTTGTACTGAAGTTTTTCAAGTCCACAGTTGCTCTCTCGAACGTGGGAGTCTCACCGTTCTCGTTCATCAGGCGAAACTTCTCCAGGGATTGCGTTTCGATCACCATGATCAATATAAATCACTATAAATTACCAATACGAAATTGAATAATCGACAATCAACAACTCCAATTACCCGTTCGGGATGGACAGAATGGCGAGGAAAATTGGCGGGAAGAGACTAGAGAGTGGCCGATAAGGCCATGTTTTTTTTTATCCACCGAGATATTAGCGACAGGAAGAAGATATCGTCGTTGAAGTTGAACCCTAAACTTCATTCAGTCCGGCATTTTGTTCGCGTCCGCCTCAAACAAATAAGAGCAAAGGGGTGGAAATAAAAAGAATCAACAAAATGTGGTGAGCACTGTGAAGTCTCCGTAATTTGGATCTGAGGAGAAAACAGAAGACAGTCTGATGCTCTGGGAGTTGAAGAAACAATTGAATAAGTAGATAGAAGTGTTTCGATAAAAGAAAGTCAGAGTCGGCCAAGGGACACATGAGAGGCATTTTTATCAAGACGTGTATTCCCCTGGTGATCATATAATTTTCCATCGCCGTGGCGACGTGTTTTAATTGATTGGCATTGTTTCTATGAGTATCGGGGACTATTGAGAGGACTCTGTGATTGCGGTATTAATGGCTGAGTGTGCATCGATGGTTTCGAGTCATACAAGTTGAATGATTGATTTTCAAGCTGATAATATGGAAACTACCAACGATCAGCCGAATATGCCGCCCCAGGAGGCGCCAGTTAACTCTGATCAGGAGCAGCAGGAGGAGCCCATGGAGGAGGCTGAAGAGTACGCGTATGAGAATGAAGAGTACAGACCATTCGTGCCGAGGGGTCGGGGTGGCTTCAGGTGAATGAATGATCAGTCGGTGGAATTTTCACTTTTTTTTTAATTTATAATATTTCCAGAGGTGTACATTAAGATATTATGCTTTAAAATGAACCCTCACTCGTTAACGTTGTACAATCACTTGAGAACTATTAAAAATTGAAGACTCGTGTTTTTTAGTCTTTTCTGAGACGAAATACTGTTTTTCAACTGTTGATACCTCCAGATTGGTAGAGTGAAATTTGAACAATTCGGTCTCGCTTTCAAGATATTGTTTTAATTTTCAAAAAGAACATTTGTTTGTTCAAGTCGTATCATTGATTCTGGAGATATTGCAGATTGAAAATTAAAACCCCAGTCGAATGTGCACTAATGTAACGTTTAAGTCCTCATGACAGAGGTTTCGAGTATGGCATGCGTGGAGGTGGTCCCCCAAGATTCCGAGGTCGAGGATTTGGTCCACGTGGACCGATGTACAGAGGGTCCAACAACGGCTACCCATACGAGGGCCCACCGAGGCCGAACTGTCCACCACCTTCTGGTCCAAGATTCAGGGGGCCTCCACCTTTCGATCCAAGCTGGGGTCCCATGGGGCCTCCCAACATGATGGGCCCACCGAATCTGATGGGGCCACCGGGAATGGTGAGTGTATTCTGTGTATTTTCGTGTTGAAAGGGTTTCTAACTGCAATTTCTGGGTTTTTAGCCTCCACCGCATATGATGAACGGACCCATGGGCCAGGGCAGCCATTACGGCCCTCCTGGAATGGGGCCACCCAACATGAACAGCGTAAGAAGCTTTCTGTACCTTAATTATCTTAAGTGGTTTCGTATTTTTATGTCATATTTATCCTCAAATTTCGCCATACCCGCAGATTCCAGCTCAGCAAAATCCACCCCAACAGAACCAACAACCGAGTAACATTCCAGGTCTGGATTTAAATGGAGAGGTATGGGTGGAAACCAAGACACCTGATGGCAAGTCTTATTTTTACAATATTCGATCTAGAGAAACAACGTGGACCAAGCCGGAGGGGCCAAACGTCAAAGTAATGGTTCAAGATCAGGTAAATCCTTATCCTTATCCATATCATCCCTGAGACTTCAATGACCATATTAATTCCCTAGCTATACTCAACTCTTTATTTGTCCATGCGTCCAGTTGGAGCAGTTGGTGCACGGTGCAAAGCAGCCGAGTCGTGAGACAACAGCGCCAGGGGCATCCCAGCCACAGCCACAACCACAGCAAGCCTCGATACCTGAGAGCAGACCTCAGGTCTCGGAAGCATCACCAGCAGACCCCTCAACAACTAGCACGGCTCCCCCAGGGACAGGTCCGCCTCCATTGCTGAATGAAGCCCCCGAGGCTAGTCAGCCTCAACCAGCTCCAGAGGCTGTTCCCAACGGCGCAGTCCCAACAGTCTCTCCAGCACCAGTTACCACTACGCCTGCGGCCCCCACAAACATGCTGCAGCCTCCCCCAAACATGGTGCCCATGCAGCATCGCATGCCAAACCAATACGGTGCCCCCATGACAGCTCCCTTCGGTGCAACCCCTTTCGGCATGCCTCCACCAGGTTTCCAGCCATTTGGAGGATATGGACCCCCACAGCCAGCCTGGGGTATGCCCCAGATGCCCCACGGTGTAATTACACCACAAACTCCAGCTGAGGATCCTGCAATCCTCGCTCAGATCGACTCTGAACTAGTCTCAGCAGCGATCGTCTGGACAGAGCATCGAGCACCTGATGGCAGGTCTTACTACTACAACAGTAAAGCTGGGGAGTCTGTCTGGGAGAAACCCCAGGCACTCAAGGACTTCGAGTCTGCTAAGAATGCCCTCAGCAAGACGGAAGAGCCTCCAGTGTCGAATGTAGCTCCTGGGGGTACTCTGGAGAGTGGCAAGGGTGACAAACAGCCAGAGGGCATCAATGATACCAAAGAGAGTTTCAAGGAGGGCGAGGCCAAGGCCAAGAAGGAGGAGACACCCAAGGAGGCCAAACCCTTGGACAAATCCAGACCCATATCGAGCACTCCAGTACCAGGAACACCCTGGTGTGTTGTTTGGACTGGTGATGGTAGGGTCTTCTTTTACAATCCCTCGTCCAGAATATCTGTGTGGGAGAGGCCTGATGATCTACTGGGAAGGCCCGATGTCGACAAAATGGTGGCTACTGTTCCTGAAGCTCTTGGGGGCCAGAAGAATACCAGGCTGGAGGAAAGCAGTGACACCAGTGATGAGGACCCACCGGTTGCTAAAAAGGCCCGGCAGGATGAAGCCAAAGGTTTTTAAATGATTTCTTTATTTAAAAAAATATTTATATTTTACAGACAGTCATTTACACTAAAAAAAAAATTTTTTATCTTGTATAAATTATTTCCTGAAGTTGATGGATGTTGAGCAAAAAAAAATTTGTTCTCTGTATTGATTAGTTTGTGAAATATTTTTTTTATTGGAGTTTTTTTTTTGTTTATTTTGCTTGTACAGAGGCACCAGGAAAGGAAGTACAAGAGGAGGAGGAGGGGGATGAGGATGAAAAAACCGAGAAGAAAACCATCGATATTGGGAAGGAGGCTGCCATCGAGGCTGAGGTTCGAGCTGCCAGAGAACGTGCTATCGTCCCTCTGGAGACGAGAATTAAATCCTTCAGGGATATGCTTGCCGAGAAGGACGTAAGAGATTATTATTATTGTTCAATTCATCAATATTCATTCAGTCGCGAGAATTTTTTAATTCTTTTCTCATTTTTTGGTAATTGACTGTTGGAATTTTTGTTGTCAAAAGGTCTCGGCATTCAGTACGTGGGAGAAAGAGCTCCACAAGATAGTGTTTGATCCCAGATATCTCCTGCTGACTTCAAAAGAGCGCAAGCAAGTCTTCGAGAAATATGTGAAGGAACGGGCTGAGGAGGAAAGAAGGGAGAAGAGGAATAAAATGAAGGAGAGAAAGGATCAGTTCCAAAAACTCCTGGAGGAAGCGAATCTCCACGGAAAGTACGTATTGAATAATTCTGTACCGGATAATTATTGACAAATAGGGGGTAAAAATAAAGAGTAGACAGTAAAAAAATGTTGACTGCTTTCAGATCATCTTTCAGTGACTTTGCCCAGAAGCACGGACGTGACGAGCGTTTCAAGAACGTTGAAAAAATGCGGGAGCGCGAATCACTCTTCAACGAGTACATCTTAGAAGTGAGAAAGCGGGAGAAAGAGGAGAAAACAGCAAAAAGGGAGCAGGTACGTAAAATCCCCCTCTTCAAATAAAATATTCATCCCATCCGATACGGAAATATTATCAAGGAGACAGCCCATTAGCCCGTCCCCCCACCAAAATCAGTACAAATAAAAAAACGTAATGATTAAGTATTTGTAAGATCAGCCTGTCACTGTGACGATAATTTGCCTTATTTCCAGGGATAATGGAATAAAAATTCTTTCAGGTGTCATAGGTACGTTATTATTTTGTTAAAATTGTAAGACTTTCACGCAAACGAATTTGATGGACCAAGCGGCTATCTAATCTAATCTAGGCAGAATTTTGAAATTACTCTCTTCCAATTGACGCCTAGAGGTTCAGGTGAACAAATCTTCACCGACAGTATAATGAGAATAACGTTAGTTGGGAGAGGTAAACTGAAATTTTTCCATTGATCCAAAGAGAATTAGTGAATAAATAAGAAAAAAAAAAAGAAATTGCTATGACGGTTCGTTTATGTACTCATGTGTTTCTGAACTCTCCACTTCAGTCAGGAGGCAGGGCAGGACAGGTTCCGTATGTGGATTGGCTTCTGAAGCTGGTTGGTGGCATTGGATGATGTCATCTTATCCATCCCCACCTACACTGCGCGGCACACTGTTGGCACATCCTCGCGCGCCGCATTCTTAACTCCAAACCAGAGTCATGAGAATGAACGAAAACTCGGTATTTGTATATTAATCGTAATCCTCGTTACTTCAAAGAAATGAAAGAACAAGAGCAAGCTATTTTGTTTCCCCCGTATTGAAAGAGAGAAGATTGTCAAAGTGACTTTAATTACCCTAGGAATTTTATTGTTTGGGTGAGGTAAATGAGGTAGCGAGATTATAGCAGATTTGAATTGTCGGTTGAGCTTCCAATAATCTTCCAATTATAACCAATGTAACAAAGAATGAGTAAGATGCACTTAATCATTCTTCAGTACATGAATTTTGGGATGTACATCTTGAAGAACGAATGGCCCAACGTACGGAACTCATTTATTTAACTGACTTGGATTATCGTCTATTTAGTGCGACAATCGCGATTTCTACGAAGCACTATCTCACATATATTGTCGGGGGGTGGGGGGGATATCGTGCTTCTTTATGCACATTGCGCTTCGTTATTAATCCACTAATGAGTTTTTGATTTTCAGGGGGACGACAGATTCCAATAATTCACCAGAGACTATCGGAATCTCCGTTAATTGAGAATAATGCAGTGTTCTCTGTTAGCGGAGACTCTGGTAGGACGTTTAATCAATTTTTTTTTCAGCATGTAATCGGTGTCATTATTTTTTCAGGAGGGAAAATTATTAATGTTCGTTCACTGTTTTTTACGAGACTTTGCCCAGTGGATAGACTATTGATTGTATAGATTTTTAAGAATCAATGTTGTCGATTGTGGATTTAATTGTTGAACATTATTTATAAATTGTTAGAAATTATTAGATTATCGAGGTATCGATCGTTCACAAAGCTGAAGGACTTGTTTGAAGAGTGAAGGAACATTATCGAATGCATGAGTATCTGACAATTCTTGACTCTAGTGGACCATTGTAATTCGATAATTAAGGATAATATCGTCGAAACTAGAGGAGCTGGTGGATTCTGATGAGGATAATCGTCCGTTTCAGGTGAAAAAGGATTTCTTTGGGATGCTGAGAGAGCACAAGGACATCGACAGACATTCCCACTGGAGTGACTGCAAGAAGCGGCTAGAGGGTGACTGGAGATACCGCGTCGTCGAGTCAGCGACAACTCGGGAGGATTGGTTTCGGGATTATGTGCGTGTGTTGAAGGACGAGAGGAAGAAGGAGAAGGAGAGGGACAAGGAGAAGGATCATCGTCATAGGGACAAGGACCACCACAAGTCTGATAAGAAGGATAAGGAGAGGAAAGAGGAGAAGAAGGAGCGCAAGGAGAAAGATAAGGAGAAGGAGAAGAAACGCAGGAGCAATAATTCCACTGAGGAAAATGGAAAGGAGAACAAGAGAGAGGGTGAGAAAGAGAGTGGAGAAATTGAGGATGTTGACGACAAACTGACGAAGAAAGACAGTGATGTGAGTTTTATTTTCATTTTTTAACTGTATTAGCTAGTGATAAATGATAATAATGTGGAATATCGATAGAAATAAGAATGAATGGAAAAGAAATTATTTGAATTGACAATTACATGTTGCTGCAGAATTACGAAAATGATGAGCACTCTGATTCGGAGGAGGACCGTGAAAAGGCTAAACGCGAACGAGAGCGAAGGGCTGAGGCTAGTCTTCGGGAGAGGGAACGCGAGGTACAACGAACTCTTGCCACACATTTGCGGGATAGGGACAAGGAGAGACAGCATCACAGGCATACAGAGGCTGTGCAACACTTCAGTGCTTTACTCGCTGATCTGGTAGGAAAATATCCCAATCACGTCGAATTGAGATTTTTTTTTTCTTTTTTTTGCTTTTCTAACACTCGAGTGTTCAATTATAATTTTTGTTTATTACAATATTTTTTACATCTTTGGAAGGTTTAATATCGTCCACGATACAAACGTACGTGAAATCACTGGTTGATCGATGAAAAAGTTTTATTTGGAAGAAATAAATTATTTTTTGGAAAACCTCAGTTCCTTTTACCGTTGCACTTTCAAAGAGCATACTCGGATGAATTTTTAAATTTATTCAATTGATTATTATAAATCACCAGGTGAGAAATGGAGACTTAGCCTGGCGCGAGGCAAAACGACAGCTGCGCAAAGATCACCGTTGGGAATTAGCGGAGAGTCTGGACCGAGAGGAAAAAGAACGGCTCTTCAACGAGCACATCGAGCAACTGGGGAGAAAAAAACGTGACAAATTTCGGGAGCTGCTGGACGAGGTCGGCGCATCGACTGAACTCACATCCTCCTGGAAGGACATAAAAAAATTGCTGAAAGACGATCCCAGATACACAAAGTTTTCCTCAAGCGACAGAAAGTGTGAGAAAGAATTCAAGGAGTACATAAAAGACAAACTAGTTGCGGCGAAAGCTGACTTTCGTGAACTCCTCCAGGAAACCAAACTTATAACTGACAAGACGTACAAAAAGGTCCAGGAGAACAGTGCATCGTTGGTGGAAATCGAGGACATATTGAGGAAGGACAGGAGATTTTTGGTACTGGAGGCAGCAGCACATGAGCGGACACGATTGCTCATGGGTTACCTCGAGGAATTGGCACGCAGGGGACCACCTCCACCACCCACTGCCTCCGAGCCATCTCGCAGACCCACAACAAAGTGAGTGGCTTCTACCCTCCAACCTCTATTTATCAATTTCACTTTTCATCATTTCTTATTTTTTTTACGCTATTTCAGTTAATTGGGCGTTCCGGCGTGCAATACGTTATGTACAACCCCAGACTCCACTATTGGGAAAGCAAATGTGGATCTAATTGAAGGCTGTTGTGCTTCCACTGATGTTCAGCAGCTCCATTGTCATGTGTAATTCTAGGGTTCAATAAAAAATAATAATAAAATCATAGAAAGAATTCTTCGGCTTGTGTCGACTTATTTATTCATACCAGGATTTCGAGGAGTCGAGGAGCTGTCAGAGCTACCGGGGTGAGGACGTACAAATAATTTCAACATTTTTTTAATTTTAAGAAAAATAATTTTACACTATCAACACACATAAAAATCTGAGAAAATGTCTGTTTTTATAATAACTATTAAAAATTAATGACATATAAAAAAAATAACTACATCTTTAGCAAATGTACTTGAAACGACACATATTCATGGCAATGGCAACAAAACTTTCTATAGACATGTAAAGAATGGAAAATGAAATAAAAAAATAATAAAATCTAGACATATAGTATTAAATTGCATTAGAGAAGAAAACCAGAACGGGAATGACAATGATACTATATTCTTTTCCTTCTTCTTATTATATATATATATTCTTTTTCTTCAGTTGTATGAAAACCGTAAATTATAAAATATTCAGTTATTCTAAATAGGATAAAATGCATTTCTATCGAATATCCTGGAGAGTATCCCCTGGAAAAGTAAAGAATCGAGTGAATTTATCCGTGTAGAAAACCTTGAAAGGAATTTTTACATCTGGTGGTGCAAGGTTGTCCCTGTGAATTTAACGACGACCGTTACCACGACAGAGTGAGCAAGACATGGCCACGAGAGAGTCTCAGATCCGGGATAAGGACAGGATATTATAATTTAACACTCCCTATCGTTGTCTTGTTCCTCGAGATACCTTTCTTCGAGATATCATTTAACACCTAAATTTTATCGCTTTGCAGCCATTTCACGGATTTGTTCCGTTGGATCTCAGGATAGGGTCACCAGGCGTGACCTGACGTTAGTGAATGTAACGAGACAACGTAACGGTAGTTGCACACATTGTATCGAGTGTAACTGTCCAGTATTTGGACGTGGAAAAGGCGGGGTGCAGCTTACGAATAGACTGACCCAATGGTACATCCTGTAAATTTATTTTAGTATAGAGGACAAATAAACAGTTAAATTCACCAACCGGCAAATTATTTCAATAAATATTTTTCGCTTTTATAGCTATCGTTTATCGCCCACGAGGTTTGAAATTCTCTCCTATCTGTTCATTTCTATTTCTGAATTGCGGAATCAGGTATTTGCAAATTTAATTTTTAAGAATTTATTTTCATTTTATTATTTTTTTCCATCAATTTCATCAAATGTTTCTCAAAAGTTTGTAAAAAATTCGAAAAAAGAGAGAATTTCAGCAACAATTCCTCAACTCTTGAAGAAATTCATAAAAATGACGAAACGAAACGAAAAACTCAAGAAAAAAAAATGCATAGCTTGCAATAACGGGAATCACTTCGACTCCGAGTGGAAAAAAAAATGAATTAGACAAAAAAAAAGAGCAGCACCACCTAAAATACCTGGAGCCCGAGATCTGGATGCAGTTGGCTTTCACAGATACAAAAAAGGCTGGAAAAGTGTTGCTAATCCCATACATCCGTAAACTATCTCGATCGCACCCACATCCAAAGTGAAAGGACAAAAATGAGACTAAAAAGCCCAAGTGGGTGACCTCGGCAAGGTCTCTGGAGAAAAATACCCCTAAAAAAAAGGTGAAAAGAAGATGAAAAACAATGAGAAAGGGTCTGAAGAGGATGAGGAGTGGGTGAATGAACTCCCTCGTTGGGTCTCTCGAAATACCCCAGCAATCCTAAGTGGATAAGGCAGTGGGGGCACAGACACGCGACAATAAAACACTTTTTTAAGGCATCTAAGGGCCCCCACTTGGTGGTACCCCTCAAGAAATAAGTGGAGGTGGCTATACCCCACCAGATCCAATACCTGGGGGCCCCTTTGGTGTCTTGTTAGCTGTTGTTGGCCTCGGAATGCCTCTTGCAATGCCTCTCGCCCTCTCCGTCTTACTGCCGAGTGAAAGTAGGATTTTGCTTTCTACCTATCGTTTGTACTCAGTGACAAATATGTTGCCGCACTGAATCCACTAAAATGTACGCTCGTTACTCCGTATATCTCGGGATACCTGTGCAATTAAGAGGATATTAGAATTTTTCTGTGGTACTCTGTTGGTGAACTACTGGAGAAAAAGTGGAGATAAAGTGGAGAAAAAGTGGAGAAAAAGTGGAGAAAAAGTGGAGAAAAAGTGGAAATAATAGTGCACCATGGTGGAGTAATTTTCATTTACTCCTCACTTCCTTTATTTTCTCCTGTCGAGGTTTATCACACCTGGGGATAGGTGGGCTAGGGTACCTCGAGGGTGGTTATCGGGCTGTGAATTATGAAGGTATTTTCAATGCACTCCGACGTTAATGTCGCAAAATTTCTCATCGTGGGATTTGTTCTCATTGCTGCCTGCACCAGGACCAGTCAGGATGGTAAGTTTTTGAGATATAGGTTTATATGATTTTACTTGGTTGATATCGTGGGGTAGCAGTCGTTTGGATCTAGTTTTCCAATGAGATATCGTACGAAGTGGGTTACACGAAGGCCAGTTCGAAAGAGAGTGGCGTGCTGATTCTAATTTGCAAAGCTTGATTTCCTAACACCTGCGGTGAATGTTTTATTTGAATTATCTTTCGTGGGATTTGAGCTCTTATTGCTGATATCTTGCAATTTTTCATTTTTTTCGCATATTTTTTGGAAACCCTGGATTAGATTGATGTGAAAAAAATCTATCCGTTTTTGTTTTTATCATTATTTTATTATTTATATTATTAATATTATTAATATTATTAATATTATAGTTATTATTGTTATCATAATTAATGACTTATAAATTTTGAGTCACAAGTTTATTTTTCTGCATTATTGCAAAATATTTCTTCATGTCAAATTAATCAACAGTTTCTCCGAAATTTATTTAAAAAATCTGAAAAATGAAAACGTATTGGCAATTATTGTTTAATAGCTGAAGGTGTCAATGTGGGGTGGTTTTTTTTAGGGATCGGAGAGAATTGGAATAATCAGTTACCAACGAATTCGGTGTATCCTGGTGGGACCAGGGTCCAGGGCTCCTCGGGGGATATGACACTGCAGCCGGATGAGGGGGCGAGTTTCGAGGAGACCCTGAGGGATACCGCCAGTGAGGAAGTCGATTATGATGATGAATATGAGGAGAGTGGACACCGACAGTCCAAGGACATACGCGAGATGAGAAATCAACGAAATTCCTCCCACGAAATCAGTAAGGGAATTTATTTCCAACCAAAATTACCACATTATCCTCTGGTTGATGACTTCCTCGAGGTTTTACGTTCGAATAAATGAGACGGGGGAACGATTCGTTTTTTTGCTCTAGGAATTCAATAAGTTCAATAAGTTACAATCATTGGCCATTGAAAAAATTTAGCAATTACTTTTTTAAATGATTCTTCCAAGAAATCGTTTCTATTGTTAATTATATTTTCCTGTGTAGAATCGATTTTCAGAGAAATTGTTTATTAATCATTGATTATTTTCTATTATGAGGATAAAATCGTTAACATAAATAAGTCTAGAAAGATTTCTGAATTAATATTTATCCATAAATATTATGATGTCCCGTTGAGTTTTGAAAAAAAAATTGATAACAGTTATGTTTCTGCATATAAAAATTTCTTGAACAGGAAAAACCGCTTATTGATCAATCGTTCATGAACGATCGTCAATCGCAGAAAATACTCTTTATAAATTTTCAATCAATTAATTAAACGACTCGTACGATTTGTCCGCGAGTTTCTCATTCCGGAGGCAATAGAGCGGCGTTTCCCCGATATTTCGTAATCCTGGGGCCCCGGGGAGTTCCCTTTCTCAGAAAAAAAAATCTGTACTAATTAAAGCAATAAGACAGCCTTATCTCTCCAAAGATTCCAAGACAAAAGAGAAGAACCCCAGAGACAGCGCTGATTACTCTTACTATTACTATTACGATGATGACTACGATAACGCCACGAATTCACATCTTCCAGGTAAGACTCTCACGGTTTAGTTTTCATTATTGCGTAAATCCGGTTAACGTCATGTTGGGACTCATCCTCAGCGGTGAAGATTCTCGTGGGTTTTCTCTCGGTGTACGTCACGAATTTTTCTGATGCTAGTCTGATGATTCGGCAGGCCAAATCACCTTGAACCGGTTCTCACTGCCGCAATACCTGAATCATATTGTTATTTCGACATTAAATATCTGTAGCAGCCACTGCCCATTCGAAAGGAACAATTCCTCAACTCCCCAAGTCCTCTAATGATTTTTCGAACAATTTTACTGACACATAATTACGTTGAAACTTATATGACGAGAAACTTCTTCCGGCTCTAGCAGGAAGCCCTTCTGCGCTCGATTAGCTTCCATTCCATTTTTAAAACAGGTTCTCTAATAGTGAAATCGAAATTATAATACGAAAGTATAAAACGTACGGAAATAGATTTATCACGTGGAATTTGTCTGGAACTTGTGGTTGGGGGAATTTTTTTCTTGTTTACCAACAGAATTATTGGAGTTTAATTAAAAATTTGAAGGAAGGATTTTGGAAAGATTTTTATTTTTCCAATTGTTTACAACATTAATTTTAATTCTACATTCGTGACAAATAATTTGGCGATTAATACCTTGAGATTTCCGATTCACGTAAAAGATTTTAAAAAGTGAAATGAAAAAATTTCATGTTTTCAAAATTCCACGAATTTATTTACAAATCGGATTAAAATATAAATAAATGATAATAAATATAATTATACAATAATAGTTTATGAATGATTGAATTTAAATTCAGATAAGAATTTAAATAATTCAGCTGCGAAAATTGCGAAGAATATCTTAAATGATGATAAACTCGTACAATTGACCCCCAGACCACCCGGACCCATCAGTCCCCGAGTCAGCGAGTGGGGCCCCCCCTTTAAATTCTCCCCTGCCAGCTGCGCGTCCCCAGGAAACCCTGGAAGCCCCCAGTGACCCCCAGAACACCGACGACAGAATTCTCATCGGCGAGGCGATAGTCTCAGTGGTGACAACTAAAAGCGTGGTCAACGGTACGATATCAATTCCAACGCCATCCCCGATGACAACAGAGCAGATGGACGCGCCGCTCCTGGACTCCAGTTTTCCAACGCCTCCATCCCCATCAACAACAGAGGACTCAATAATCGTAGCATCGGTGCAGACAAGTCGTAGTATTTCTGGTGCTCGTTTTCTCCCATTCGACCTGAATGGAGATCTCCCCAGGTCGGCGAACACGAGCGAGGGCACCCGCAAGTCAATTGAATCAACGGAATCGATAATCGACAAGTTGGATCGAGTCCAGTCGGAGTTGTCCAGTGGTTTCCTAACGGGAGGTTTCAGAACAGCTGGAAATGCACTGCAGCTGGACGTCCTGAGCGAGCAGAGGCCGACGCCGCCGAGGAAGAGTTTCACGACGACGGGAAAACCACCGGTGATAAGTAAATTTGTGCCGAAGAGGTACAACGAGCGCAAGGGGCCAACATCGACGGAGACAGAGGGGAATCCGGAGGGAACCCTTGAAGGAACAACACCTGGTGGAATTCCTGAGGTAATCCAGGGAACAAATGTCCCCTCCAGGTCCAAGGGGACGTTCAAGTGGCCTTCGTCCAGCCGTAGCAAGGCCTCCACCACTGAATCCCCGAGAGTCCCTAAAATTTTCCCTAGAATCAAAGCTGATGTCCAGGACATCAGCGCTTTCCTTCCACCAGGTTTCAAGCTGAAGAAGGAAGAGGAAAACACAGAAAAATCGATAATCAGTGATATTCTCGCTAGATCGAAGATCAATGTCTCCTCGCTGTTGCCAGCGAATTACGAGCCGACGGAGGGGCCCCCTCCGAGTAGCACAGAGTCGTCTGGAGGCTCCATTCAGGATCTCTTCAGCAAGTCCAATGTTGATATCAGTGCATTCCTCCCAGCTGGGTACAATAAGGAAATTAAATCGGAGAAAAGAGAGAGGGAAAAGGAGGAGAAGAGAACGACGACAGCATCGCCGATTCAGAAGACCCTCCAGGAGTTGTTCTCCAAATCGGCGCCGGATATATCGGCATTGCTGCCAGTGGGCTATGATAAGGAAAAAAACGCAACCCGGGAGATCGGTACCACGGAGGGGACCACCGAGGGAACCACCAAGCCTTCTGGTGGCGTTAAATTAGTCTTCCCTAGTCGACCTGGAGGGCGAAAAGCTGTACAGAAAGCTGCCACTCCCATGAGTCGGGCTAATGAGGCACCCACTGCTGTTACTCCCAAAATTCAGAAGGGCTGGCCCACCAGGTACAGTTAAAATTAAATGTCGTGGGTTTTGATGTCGTGAATTGTAAAAAAAAAATTTGTCACGTTTCTGTTTGATATTCCAGAGCTACAACCGAGTTCACAGGGTGGCCGACGCCTTCAACCACTCCCATCTCCATCGAAAAGCTCCTGGAGGCTGCCAGAACGGCAACAATCAGTTCCATCAACAGCTCGATCATACCAATCACCAGTGAAGCATCAACGACACCTTCGACAACGACAACAACAACTACTGTACGACCCACAACCCCTGGGTACTGCACTGAGGAGTGCGAAGTCGCTGGGACCATCAGGATTATCGGAAATGCCACCTGGGTACCCGAGCTCTTTGATAGAAACACCAGAGAGTGGCAGGACCTGGCTAATGTCGTCGAGAAGGAGGTGAGTCTTTGAAATTATCGAATATTTCACGATAACTCAAAAAAAAATTATCCGTATCAATTAAATGAGGGCTGAAAAAATTTGTCCTGATATTCCTTCGGAGATATTCTAGAAAAATTTACCGAAAAATTAAATGTAGGAAATAAAGATGTAAATACGACTGTATGAATGAAAAGATTAAATTGGAAGTCATAAATGGATTTTTAAATTGAAAACAATTATTTTCAAGTATTTTTCACAATTATTTTAATTAATTAATTTTTCAAAATTATTCAATTGCATTTCCCGCAATAATTAATCTGCGCAGATCAATCTCGTCTATATAAAATCAGCGATTCTCCGGAAATGGTACAAGAATGTGCGAATCGATGCGTTCAGCCCTGGGAGCATTTTAGTAGACTACTTCGTCGAGCTCCAGGATCTCACTCAACGAATCAACACTCAAGAACTGAGAGTTCTGTTCCACGACTCCTTGAGAACTTATAACGCCCACAAATGGAACGAATCGAGAACCACGAAGGCCCCACTGAGACTAGGAGAATTCCTCATCGACCCGAAATCCACGGATTTCGTTGTAATTCCAAGAGTGAGTTTGCCACAACACATCGAGAGGGATGACAGACTGATACCCCAGTGGGCCATTGCTGTCATTGTCATTGGAGTTGGAGGACTAGTGTTCATCATCATCTTCGGGGTTTCTGTGGTATGACTCGTTGAACTCTTTCACCCCTTCGCCTCTGAATTCTCGCAATGGCAAAAACCAAAATTATTATGAAAATTCAGTGGCAATATTTCCGGATCTGAGGCCGATACCCAAATTTTTGTTATAATATTTTTTGTAGATCTAAATGAGCTCGACGTAAAATGTTTTAACGAGAATTTCGATACCAGTCTTAAATTACGAGATATTTATTGAAAACTCATGAACCGTGACTATTTGCGTGAATCATTTTCCAATTTCAATTAAAATCATTCTTTTGGTCAACAGCTGGTCAATCGACAGAACACTGCGAAGCTGCGGCCCTCAGTCTCGGGAATGTATACTGAGGAAGCAGCCAAGAACATCATCCAGGCGAGCCAAGCAGCCACTTCTCACAGGTCCTCCCAGGATTACCCTAAATCGGAAATCTCCACAATTTGGAATGAGACTGACGCATGGAGAGAAAAATCATTCGAGTCCAACTCGAACAAGGTAAGACCTTCATAAAAATTCGTATTGAATAAAGCTATTCTCATAATAGATGGCACAATTAATAATTTTATTTGATATTAATTAATATTTATAATTATACAACATACAGTAGAATTCCGTTATAGTCGCACCTCTCCCCAATTTCTTTCGTCGCGTATCTTTCGGCTCCTCCATTTTCCTACCTCCAGGCTTCGACATGTAAATAATTCATCATTTCCTCCGATGAGCAATTAAATTCCGGGCAAAATAAAGCCGAAAAATAAATTTCTCTCGTATATTCATGCACGCAACTATAACGAGAGTCTATCGTATTGAGAGAAATAGAAAAGAAATTTTCAATTTTCATCGATCTTGATTTAGATTTTGGTTGATGGAATTCGGCAGGACGAGAAGAAATACAATGTTTACGACAGTTGGAGATCGGAATGGAATGGATACTATTACCAGCCCTCGCAGTCAAGCAGCAAATTCCAGGGATACGAAAGCAGTGCCTACTCTCACCATCCGCCAGATTATGACACGAATTTTTGACGAATCAAGACTAAATTTATTAAAAACCTTCTTTAAAAATAATTAACTCGTTCGTAAATTACTCACAGTATCAGTTGACCTCCTCATTCAATCGGACAATATTTGGTTATCAACTCTTGGGGGAATATTCCTTAAGAACACTCAACACTTTGCGGTACAAAAAGGATTGTCTATGTGCTGGTTTGCAGATGTACAAGTGGTCCTGGGGAATTTCGTAAAACTCCCCCACACCAGGATCTGCTGACTTCGGTGTCACGAATTGGAGAGGAAACTTCAGGGCTGTCACGGGGGTGGGTTTGGTCTCGCTGAAACTTACTATTTCGATTTTGTACTCTTGCAGCATATTCAGGAAGTCCTCGTGGAGCTTCAGTAATTTTGGTGACTCTGGAATTAATAATATTTACAAAATTATGACAATATCTCGGGATCTAGATGCTTAAAATATGATCTGTATATTTTTCGAGTCAATCGAGATCCATCGTCGATACACAAAAAATACGAAACATAAATTTCGCGATTAAAATGCTTTCGTTCGGAAACAAAAATAAAATTTCCGATTGATCTCATTTTATTCGTTCTTCATTATTGAATTATGATTATGATCAATTATGATGCAGGAATTTCATTTCCAGCTTGAAAGTATTCACATATCTATGTCTACCCTGGAATTTATGACAAATGATTAAATTAACGTCATGATGTACCTTCTCTCAACTCTTGCACTTCAATGGAAGGCCAAACGAGCATTTGAGTTGTTCGTTTGAGTGCAGCAATGTGTGAGCCACGGTGTGGAGTGCTGTAGAAAAATATTGCCTTTGTCTCCTTGCATAATTCATGGGGATCGCCTTTCTTCCACTCCTCCACGAGCATTCGTTTCACTAATAATCCGCCCATTGAGTGGCAGATCCAGACAACAGGGCGTTTTCCAACGCCTGCAACCAATAATTTCCCAGTGAACTCGTTACTCCTCTCGTCCAACGTGCTCCTGTTTCGAATAATATTACGATTTTTTTCATCAATAAAATGTCAGTTGCAGTTGTCACCTACTTCAACATTTTAATATCTTCATTATCTCATTTTACGATTGGATTTTATGTGATATTTACCTCATACTTTCTATCGGACATGGTAGACTCCACAGGGACAAATTTGTATCGTAATTAATCCCAATTACTCGGATATGGGGCAAATCTTTTGGCAACCAGTCTTTCGGCCAACACTCAGTCCTCACATGCTGGTCTAGCTCTCTCTGCTCCACGCAGTAGTCGTCCCTGAATTTTTCGTATTGCAGTCAATTCGAGCTAATTTATTCAATCGATTGAATGTCGCAAGAATTTTTTTTCATTTAATAGAAAGTCGATATTTTTCGATATTTTTATCACCACGAAACGCGTTTCTTCATAAAAAAAATACTAAATTATATTTACCATTTATTATACCATAAATTTAGAGAAATTTGCGCAAGATTGTCATTTTTAATTGATTTCTCACCCTTTGCAAGTGAAGGGGCCACAGGCGCGTGAATTCATAGACACTGGACAGTCATCCAGAACAATTTCGAAATCTTGACCAATTTGCTTCCATTCCCGCAGCTGCATATCACGTGCGAGATCTTTTATAAATTCGTTTGGCTGATCACCAATGGCGAGATCCAGAGTTTCAGTCTCAAAAGTCATTTGTGAATTATCTGAAAGCCAAAAAATTTTGATCACTACTTGTCATCCTCTACCAATGAAATATATTTTATGTATTATTTTCGTGCGGGAATACTCACGCACATTCGCTGGGAAGTCCTCATTTCGCTGTCTCCAGGAGACAAAGATCCCTCCCAACAATCCATGGATAAAAATAACATCCATCTCAGCCTTCGTCGAGACTCGATGCATGGGGTGGAGCAGGTAAATCCTTTTGTGAAATTTTTCGTCTCCATGAAAATCGAGGTCCAGATTGGCGAGGGCCCTGGCAGCTGGGGCTGCGACCCTTACGTCCTCGTGCCTCGCCCACGAGGCAAGTACTCCAATCCATCCTGACATGTAGATGTCCTCCAGGTATTCGCTGTGCAGGGATAGATTTGAAATGATCTTCGCGAGAAGAATGGAGAGGTCAATATTACTAGGGAATCGTTGCTGGACTTGCATCAGAATTGGGAGACCACCTGCTACTGCAATGGCACGACTGAATTGCTCTATTGACGAGTGATGATAAATCGCCTGGATGCAGTTCTGGAGGAGCTGCTGATCCCAGGAGGCGACTGACCCCGTTGTGATGCCTACGCTCGATAAATCATGATCGAGAACTAGCTCATCCTTCAATCAAATAAATAAACGCCAGGTAATAAATACAGTTGTTTATCCCTCTTATTTTGTTTGTTTTCAGACACATTGACTTCAGCAACTTACACGATGAAAATCTTGAAACGATTTCTTTAAAAATCGAGTTAAACACGTGTGATGATTATCGCACAATTTATCCATATCCTGCAGCAATTGGTGGAGTTCATCAATAATTTCGTAGAGTTTTTTCCTCAGATGAGAGTAGGGGGGCTTCAAGAAGAACCTGAGATCTGAATCGGCTATTCGAGCGAGACCCACTGCAGTCTTTGCATCGATCATCTGTGCTAATTGCTGATAATGCCAGTCTGTAATTGAAATAGTTTATTCATTTAAATTCAAGTTAATGCTCTAGTAATAATTTCAATCCTCAGAGGAGAAATGGAAAAATTCTCGGATATTTAATCGACATTATCTGAAGATTGGCTGAGTGGAGTTAAATGAAATTGCCCTCCCTCAAATTAATCGATGATACCTTTAAGATGTTTGAGCGAGCCCAGAGTATAAATAGCTCTGGATCTCTCCTCTTTGAGCCCGTTGTTGGCAATATGAACGAGTCTGTAAGCCAAACTCCTGTTCAGAGACTTCCACCATTTCGTGATGACCTGCGAAAATGTCTTGGGTGTCTCGCTGATTGATGACTGAAGATCGTTGTCGATCGAGTGAACGAATAGATCTGCACATCCAAAAGATACATGACACTTCGATTATCGGACGTTAAAAATAAATAAAAAAGTCCTTGTTGTCACGACCTTTGAACTTCGGATCATCAAGGTAGATATATTGGGCCTGTTTTTGCTCGAGTGTTAAGACATTTGTTGCCAATGTGGACCTTAGCATCTCGGATATCTCTCGGAGTTGATACATGAACCAGCATCCCCTTCGACAAACCCCACACACCAGTGAAATTAAAATTAGAAGAGGTATTGTTAAAAATATTTGGTTAGAGGTTAGTCGCATACCCGATGAAAACAAAGCACGCTGACACTGATTTCACGTATTCCATGTATCTTCTGGCTCTCCATAATGCCATCCTGCTGGATTTTTTTATTCAACTCCGCGAGCTCATGTTCATTACCTCAAGAAAGACCTTCGACTGACGTATCATCACGAACGTCAAAACACTCATCGGTGGAATACGTATGCCAGATGTCAAATTGGGAATTCAATTCTCCCGCTGGCAGAGATGTCTGACCGGAAGTCCGTCTGAATAATTTCATTTCCAGATTTTGAAATTGATTACTTCAAAAAATCATTATACATCTCCGAAAAATTCTAAAATCACTGAGAACTCGATAAAAAATATATAAATATTGGTGAGATATATTTCAAATCATAATAATCCTTTTTTATCTCAATTAAATATCGTTCCGACGTTTCACAGAAAAAATATGTAAAACCTAGATTTAACCCACATTTTTTATAAATTACAATTTTCATTATAATTAATCATTAAAAATACGAATTTTTAGTGTCGGATTTGATAAATTCAAGAAATTTTTCAATTTTTCATAAAATATACCATTTGATTATTTTACTCTTATTATTTATTCATAATAGAAATGATGTAAAAAATCAGAATATTTTACGGTATTTTATTAAAATAATTACAACAACCAAAATAATCCAGAAGATTTCGAAAATACCGTGCATACCCGAAAGTTAACGACTTGATGAAGCACCGAATCCTGTCGAAGTCTTCCGAAGTGCCCCCTCCCCCATCGTACGAGTTCGCATGGCCGACGTGTGCATACCGTAATCCGTGGTGTTTCAGGGTGTCACGTAAAAAAAAATAGCGGATAATCGCCCGCATCGGGGTCCACGCCGTCGTCAATCAGGTAGAACGAGAGCGAGGAAGCCGAGGCGCGGTGAGAACGTAAGTAAAATCCCGACATCCCCCAGGTAACCCTCAAGCCCCCAAAAGGGTGCCAATTAACCGAGAAAACGCTAAACCATGCGACAAATTGCGGAACCCAATTTCGTTAGCTCTGTGGGATTTTCCCTGGAACTCACGAAATTTTCCAAGTTTTTTCCGGATAGTCCTGGTGAAATACAACGAAATACTGCAGTGGCCTCAAAACGAGCCCGAAAGAGACGCTGGGAAATAGAAATTGACGGTAGAGTGAGAGGGACATGTCTCACTGACATAATCCGGTAGAAACTGGATTCATTCGGATTTCACCGATGATCTTTCTCTCCATGCAGTTGTTCCACTCTTCGATCGTTCTCTCATTATTTTATATTTCGTATTTCCACAGAGGAAGGAATCTGAATTGAGAACAGGACATCGACCAGTGGTGAATACTCAGTGAGGGTAAAAAAATCCGAGGGGGGGGATTGGTTGGTTAGGCACGAATTTTAACCACGCGATCCACCACGCGCCGAAATGTCCAACGAGGAGACTTCCGCCGATCGCAATGTCGAGATCTGGAAAATCAAGAAACTCATCAAGAGTTTGGAGATGGCCAGAGGGTGAGTAGTAAACCCAGATGTAACATTCGTCTTCTGCTCGTTGTAAGACACGTTGTCCATATGGTGAGTCATTCTATCCAAGAACTAACCTTTTTTTTTTATTCACTGCAGAAATGGCACCAGCATGATTTCACTCATCATTCCACCTAAGGATCAGATATCCAGAGTCAGTAAGATGCTGGCTGATGAATTTGGTACAGCCTCCAATATCAAATCACGTGTAAATAGACTATCCGTGCTGGGGGCCATCACGTCGGTCCAGCATCGACTTAAATTGTACACCAAAGGTATAAATTTGAGTATCAGAGGCAAAAAATGTGACTTTTTATTATTCTGCACCATGTATCTAGCTTGGAAATATTGTGGCATTTCAGTAATTATTTAATTCCATATTCATGACGATATTGAGCATAATAGACTTGAATTCCATCGAATCTGAAATTCTGGTATAATTTTATTAACAGTTCGGATGTTTATAAGTTCCGGTAAAATTATGAAATGAGATGGTTTAATTTGTGGTATTTTTACAGTACCCCCAAATGGTCTCGTGATATACTGCGGAACAATTGTCACCGAGGAAGGCAAGGAGAAGAAAGTCAACATTGACTTCGAGCCATTTAAACCCATTAACACGTCCCTCTACCTGTGCGACAACAAGGTGAATTGATAAGAAGAAATAACGGGTTTAATTGTATATTTTCTTCTAATATCCTGCGTTTAGTTCCACACAGAGGCCCTCACAGCACTATTAGCCGACGACAACAAGTTCGGATTTATCGTCATGGATGGTAATGGTGCCCTATTCGGTACCCTCCAGGGAAACACGAGGGAGGTGCTTCACAAATTTACAGTTGACCTGCCCAAGAAGCACGGTAATTACACACTACATCAATGGTTTTTTTTCTCACGCTTGATTTCCAAAGATGAATTCTATTATTCTATTAGCGGAAATTTTATTCAATTGCAATCGACGTGAATAATAAAGATTTAAATTGAAGATTTCTACGAATTTATTGTGATCAGGTAGAGGAGGTCAGTCAGCCCTTCGTTTTGCTCGGTTGCGTATGGAAAAGAGGCACAATTACGTTCGAAAAGTGGCTGAAGTCGCTACTCAGCTCTACATCACCAACGATAAGCCCAACATTGCAGGACTTATTCTGGCTGGTAGTGCGGACTTCAAGACTGAGCTCAGTCAGTCCGACATGTTTGATCCTAGATTGCAGGCGAAAGTCATAAAACTCGTGGACGTGTCCTACGGGGGAGAGAATGGGTTCAATCAGGCTATTGAACTTGCAGCAGAGTCCTTGCAGAATGTCAAGTTCATTCAGGAGAAGAAGCTCATTGGTAATTTATTATTCATTTATCTTGTCTCGTGGATCTACTCAGTGAGTCAACTCGTTTGGAGTCTTACATTTTTTTTTGTATTTGTACAACTTTTAGGGCGTTATTTCGATGAAATATCACAAGACACTGGTAAATACTGTTTCGGTGTCGAGGACACCCTCAGAGCATTAGAGCTAGGTAGCGTTGAGACCCTCATCTGTTGGGAGAATCTCGACATTCAACGGTACGTCCTCAAGAATCACACGAATGGAGAAGAGAAGGTGCTGCACCTGACTCCTGAGCAGGAGAAGGACAAGACCCATTTCACGGACAAAGAGGTTTGTACAACACTTTTAATAATTCGTCAAAGTCCAAAGCTTGGACATTTTTTCACAATTTGCATTGATTGACTTTATTGTGGGCTTGAATGAAATTTAATTTTATGGAATATACATAATGGATAATGGAGGATTGAAAATTGAAGTAATTTTTAAAAGATGAGGACTTTCATTGAAATAAATGAGTGAAATTTCAGAGTGGCGTGGAGTTAGAATTAGTAGAGTGTCAGCCATTGCTGGAGTGGCTTGCGAATAACTACAAGAGTTTTGGAGCGACCCTAGAAATTATTACCGACAAATCCCAGGAAGGCTCGCAGTTCGTCAGAGGTTTTGGTGGCATTGGAGGTGAGTTAAATTATTTCAATCAGAATAAAATTTCAGCGCTCTTAGAATCCACGAATAACCATAGAGAAATGAAAATAAAGATTGTGGTGCTTCCAACTCGTACCCTGACTCTGGGAAGAACGTATAATTAATGGTCTAGTGTATTGTTGACTTGCACAGGAATTCTGCGCTACAAAGTCGATTTCCAGTCACTGCAGGCTGACGAGCCTCTCGATGACGTTGACCTCGATGATTATTAAATCATCGCAGGGAAATAAATGTACTCTGTAATCCAGGTAGATTGGTTTAATCCTTCTTGCGTGCTTTTTCATTCATTTCGAAAGTTTTTTTTTTCTTCTTTTTTTGTATCGAATTTTGGTAGAATCATTTTACTTTCTTCATTGAGATGAACACTGGATGTTCATTTATCATTTTCTGATGAGAAGATCGATCAGACATTGTGTTTGTTCCTCGTGGATTCTTCAGTATTTATTTTCATCGAATCTTCAGGGAAAATCTTGATGATTTTCTCGTCGAATTTTTCCATTGTATTTTATCGTTTCTCATGGGCATGATCATCACTCGTTATTTTGATTTCTCACTGATGAAGTTTGGTATAAATTCATCTTCATTGGATTATCGAGACGATTGGACGTGATTTAGTTTCGATTAATGCATGATCGAGTTAAAGAGACCATTTATTTTGATTAATTTCGAATTGTAGTGGATTTAATGGCATGCTATACCTGTGTGAGCTAAGTTGATCATCAGGGGTTGATTGAGAACTGAAAGCTCAAAAATATCGGAGAATAATCTGCGAGCCCTGATGGTCGAGTCTAGGTAGATAAAGTCTGTGTGTCTCAGTAGACATATACATTTTTTTCACCCCATTCTGAATGAAAAATACTAACATAGAATTTCTCAACTTTTTCATTAGCTCGCACACTGGGAAAGGTATAGTACATGCTTCACTCTCATTAATGAGCTGATTTATTATTTACTCCTCGAGAGGTGACCGTTCTTTCTTCGATATCTCCTGGGGAACTGAATAATTACTAGAATTATGATTTTATCAGTCAAACATTTTTCAGCCATTTAGCTAATTCAAGTTTGATCATTTATATATTAATATTTAATTTCAGGTATTTTACGATACAAAGTCGACTTTCAAAGTATGCAGTTGGATGATATCGAAATCGAGAACTTCGATCTGGACGATTACTGAGAGCAATGAGAGTTATTGGTGAACTGATTGGGGAATGAACAGTCATTGTGGCTTCAGGATTAATATTATATTAATTGAAAAGGCGAGAAACATTTTAAAGCAAATAAATAAGAATCTAAACAAGAGAGGAATAATAAAGAAACTACACCACACATGCATTACACGTGAGCGAAAACATTGGGGGAGGATTAGGTAAATGAATCTTTTTTGAAAATCAATTTCTCCTTTCAGTGAAAATACCTTCGGTGTCTCGAGACTTTGACCATTGAGAACGATTCATTCTCCCTCCCCTAAATTAGATAAATTAAAATCAATGATTGATCAAATGTCTTGTCCTCCGAGAGTGTGCAGTATTTTTCCCCTCCATAACAATCGGTTAACCATGGTACACAATTACAATATGAGTAAATTAATAATGATCATAGAACATTACACTGAATTTTTCCACCTAGTGTGGCCAGACGATTGCAGGTCTAGAAGATTTATAAGAAATTCTAGAGTTTTGAATGGTAAATCGATACTTTTTTTTTTTTTTTTTGCTGAGCAATTGAATAAGTGAGACTGTGCGAGGATCATTGAGTGAATGAGACCAGAGTGATACGTCAAAACGATAAAACAACAATAACAAGACGAAGTTTCCTCCAGTTGTTGATAATTGGAATCGAAGCAATAGAGAAATATTCGGATGGATTTTTAAGGGCAACTCGAAGACTGTGACACTTAATTAAGCCAGCTTGAATACCTGCCTACATTAATCATATGAAACAACTAAAATAAAACATTCGTTTCGAGTACCAGGAAGTGAGTGAACACTGTGCATTAATTAAAAATCCAGCAATTGTAGGAAAGGCTACGGTAATTCTGGAGTGTTTTTTGGGAATTTAAAAAAAAACACGTATCTTCTCAGGACGTTTACGTATTTATTCGGGGACATTGACAGAGATTAAGAGGTGTTGAATGATAACAAGCTGTACAACGTAATTATTTAATTATGGTAATGATGCTGATGTGCAATTGGTGAAATGAAATATTGTTGTTCTTCATTATTCTTTGTTTTTCTTTATTGTTCTTGATGGTTCTAACTCCGTGCTGGTCACCGATTGTTTGACAACACGATGAAAGCAAAACAAAGCGATATATTTTGCTGACTATCTGAGGATTGAGTATTTTCGCTGCATTGGGAATGGAAATAAATGGCCAGCCTGGGGTTAATTTAAATGTTGTAGAGCTGAGATTTGCGTGAAAGTGTGATTTGTGTCTTATTTTTCAAATTCCATTCGTTCAAAAAAATTCCATGCTTGAAATAATTAATTTGGACATAATAGAAATTGTACTTAGAGGGTTCCAGTGTAATTATGGGGATCTGGTATGTATCACTTTTCTATTCAACGAGTGTCTTTCGCTTTATTTCATCGTTGTCAGAGTGTACACTACCAGCGAAAAGGGAAAGACGATTAGTGATGAAAGAGAGAAAATCTGCGTCCTCGATTGCCTCATGTTTTTTACATAAATAAAACAATACAATAATTATCGAAACAGAAGATGCCTGTCACGCTATTGACGTCCATCGAGAAGATTCGTGTGAGTGATGAGAGATATCAAATTCGTACGCTATTAGAAAACTCCTCGGTCAAAAGACAATTTTAGAGAGCACGAGAATTATGAATTCTGACAACTCCTCGAATATTTTTCAGAGAAAAGAAAACGATTAAAAGAAGTTCTATATTATATTATATGTCTTGTTATAAAACGAGGATTGAACAGGTCATGGTGATCACATACAGTCACATTCCAACAATGATACACCGATGATTTATGGAGAAAACAAAATGAATAATTCAAGTTTGGAAATTAAAGTGAAGATGGAAGGTGATAAAAGTCTCGTCATTTTCCCGTCTTTAACACGATAATAATTTATTCAGTCAATTGATGATCTCAAAATATTTCATCCCATAATTATCTATTTAAAAATTCCTTCTCAAAACAGGAAGCAATATTTCTGATTGTATATTAAAAAAAAAATTTATTTCATCTCATGATTTAAATTCCTCTTCATCGATCCCAGACGTAGAAGTAGATAGTATTTTACGAAGTTTCATCCCCAGGTACGAGAAGATTAATACTAGAATTTTTAACATCCGATCCCACGAATTTCTCCTCACCCCCTCGAATGGAGAGGACAGTGTCCGAAATATTAGTCTTTCTTTCATCCATCATAGCAGCCCTGAGCCACCTGGAGCCCGAGCACTTCTGACAACTGTGAGAAGGTAGTTTATCAAGACTCACTGTTCTGTTCCCACAGTCCCCACACTTGAAGAAGCTCTTGACAGCGTCAATCACCCTCAAAGGATGTCTCTTCTCCTTGCAAATATCCGATGCCGAGAATGCAGTGTACTTGCAGATGAGACACCTGACAGCCTTGCACTCGACCTTAAAAGTCGTCATCATCTTCTCCTCCATGCGCTCCTTGACCTCCAGTTTATGGAAGTACTTCTCCTTCTCGTTGTCATCAGCCTTTTCGATGAGATCCTCATGAGTTGAAGTCATCTCCATGAGCTCCTTGAATTTTTCCGATGTGGAGCACACCTTCTTCGCCTCTTGGGTATCACCAGACATTTCCTCATCTCGTTTCCTCTTGGCAGATGCCTCGATCTTCTCCCTACTCTCCCCCACCTTATTAACATTCCCCAAGGGCTTAATGCCCCCCTTCTCCTTCGCCCACTTGATGGCATTCATTTTAGCAGAGCTTATCCTCGTCTTTGGTATTGGTTGTGAAAAGTCAATCGTGTCACCAACGACTCCACATCCTAGACGAGGAGCGCAAGGCCCTGGAGACGATACTGAGGGTTTTAGCGAGGGACTACTGTGTCCTGGAGCTTTCAAATTTAATTTACTCGTTAAACTTTTTGGAGACGCTTTTGGAGAGCCATTTGACAGAGAAGATATCGAAGACAGACACAGGGCAGATCTATTGCTCCATCCTCTGCTCTTATTAATCTTCTCCAGCGCTTCCGCATCTCCCAGTTTATTAACTGATGACTCTTGACTCTTCCCGGGGGGATTATTCCCCTTCGTGAGGAGTGCCAGCCTCTCCGAGTCCCTCTGCTCCATCTTATAATTCCTCTTGGCAGGAATCGCCAGCATATTCAACTGATTGAGACCATTTCCCTGAGGTCCTCCAAAATTTTGTTTTTGTTTTCCAAAGGCGTTACCAAATCTCCTGTTGTTGGGGTCAGTCTGCAGGTCAGTCCTCCTGGAGGCTTTACTGTACTCCTGTTTGACGTGATAAATGCAGTACTCACAAATGCTCTTGTTGACGATATTGGTGCAGGGATCGCCGCTCTTCTTAACAGATTTGCATCTCCCCAGATCTCTGGAGTTACCAAATATCATGACTTTCTGGGCGTTGTCGACAGACAGAGTGGCCTCAGCCTTGTCACTCCTCGATTCCATGACATTGGGATTCAAAACCCCTACAACTGTCCCCTCGGATGTCTTCCAGAAGAGTTTATATGCCCCACTGAAAAGAAAGAGCGAAACACTGGGGATTTTGTCGGATAAATCACTGATCTGCCAGATGCAGTACTGATTTCCATTCTGAGATTTCTTCGTTGCTGATTTGTGAATGAGGACACCAGCGATCACCCAGTCCTGGGACTGGTCCTGAGTCGCCAGGAAGCTTTTTACTTTAGACACTGTGATGGCTTTTCTGTCCTGCATTCGTTCCTTCAATTCTGCTGAAGAGATCAGGGGCTTGACAATTCGCAGACCAAACACTGGATCGCTGTAGACGTCTGGAGGCTTTGCCAACCAGTTTGTTAGGGCAGTCTCTGGTTTCTTCTTTACACTCTTCTCACTCTTCTCGGGCTTCCTGGGAAACTTCTCGATGGAGGTGTCCTTCTTCTGGGAGGACTGGTGCTTCAGAAGGTCTCTTATGCTCCTACCAGAGTCCGAGTACTTCTGCTCCTCGAAGTACTTTTTTCCCTCGTCGTCTGAGGAGTCTAAATCGTCATAAACGAGACTCGAGGTCTTTTCCTGATGGCCTTTCTCCGGGGGATCATCCAGATTATCCAGGAAGTTGTAGTCCAACTCTTTGAGGACCTGGGGCGCAGCTGGCAGCTCTGGAACTGGAGTCTCATCGTCATTCGCCAAGAGATTATTCAACACGTCATCCACGTCTGAATCACTGTCTGACATGATTGCCTGTTGGTTCAATTGCAATAAAACTTCAATGAATTACATGAATTTTATGAGAGAAATCTTTAAATAAAACTGTAAGGGACCTAGTATCAGGCACTTACTGGCTGATTTGTTGAAATTTTAGTGGATCTTATTGACAAACTCGTGATGACATGTCAATAATTTGCAGGAGTCCGCAGAAATTTGCAGGTGCACACTGTGTCCTCAGTTTGCGCGGCAAAATAAATGATTATTTTTTCTTTATTTTTGCACCAGCAACAGCGCTGATAAAGCAGATTTCCCTGAATTGATTTCATCATCTGCGATCAGTGACATCTGGAGCTCCAGTGGTTGTGCCCATGCGCGTGACACATTTGAATTTTTTAATCCCGCATTCATGAAGCATTAATTAGTGTATCGTGACTTGGGACTAATTATCGGTTTAATTATAGAGGGTTAAGGGAAGCGTCTGCTGGTGGGGTTTGGACAATTAGTAAATTATTGGTGAGTCACTCAGTGTTTTTAATGCTGCGAGTGCTGCCATTTCAATAATTCATTTCTCGGTGATCGATCGGGGTTACCATAGACTTGGGTATATGACAGGGGAAAAAACAACGATGCTATCGCTCCATTTGTACACGCGATAATGCGAGTAGAATAAATCGATGATAACTGGGGAGCACGTTATCTCACTGGAGCCATGGACTAACGACGGAAAAACCTTATGATTGACGAACAATAGTTGCTCCTTATTTTTTTTTAGTTTTATCCCCACCTGGTTGAAACCTGAAATGACCGTCACCTGGTGCCAAGGTGACTTGCAGATGCGAAAGTGTCCTGATGCTACTGCAACCTTCCACCTGCCACCTGTCGGTATTTTATACTTTAAACATTCATCATCGTGAAAAAAAAAAGGTCTGCCGTCAATTTTCTACAGGAGAGTTATAGAAAATTGTCTTGCTCATCTGCACGATAAACTGGAGGTGGAAATTTTTTTTTTCACGTACACCGAGCGGTTTAAATTGATGAAAAAGAATTTTTTGTTGTTTGTTATTTTTTTTTAATTTGCGAGAAGCTTCTGTTGAGCTTTTTAGTGAATTCGGAGTCTTTGAGGATTTTTCAAAGGATTAGATTGAATCTTTTAATTGTTAATTAAACCTTCGGTTTAATAAACGCTTCGGTTCTCCCGCCAATTATTAATATTAACAGAATTGTTCGAATGGCTTTGAGGAATCATTGGATATGTCGATCCAAGGCCACACACAATCCCTTCATTCGCCAAAGGAACATGATTATTATAATTGAAACCTGATCAGGATCGTCTGGAGGTGACTCAGTGGTAGAATTTCCATTTTGAAAACAAACTCATTCAACTACTCAAATAATTCTCCAAACAATTTCAACCCACGTAAATCCCCCAACTATTCATAAACAATGATTAACTATCAATTATTTTCAATATACAAAAAAATATCTATAACCCCAACTAAATTCCTTCCCCAGAAAATCAACTACCCAAACAAAAATGTACTCGACAAAAATCCTGCTAAAAAAAAATTATTTCCCACGATTTTCCAGAAATTAAAAATTGAAAAAAAAATCTCGAAAATCGTCACTTTTCCGTATAATCGGGTAAAAGTAAATTTTTCATTGAAACTCAAACAAAACCTGAGACAGGGCAATCCATCGTTCCAGTGGGCGCTCCAGAGAGTTTCACCTGACCCCACCCAGCGGCCCTGTGTGCGTTATTCATGCACCTCTACACAGTGTTACCCACCCTTCCCTCTCCCTCTTGCCGCCCTTCCCGCAATTGGCCCACCGTGTAAGCAGCGCATACCCCACTCTCTCCCTCTCCACCGCCGCCCCCCCTCTCCCACCGGCGCAATTGCCGTAAGCGCAATTCTCCCCCATGCTCCAGCCGTCAGTATCCGTCAGTGCCCCGTCAGTCTATCGGCAACCTGCGTACCAGCCGTGTCGCAGTGCTTACGTAATAATTATTATTCCTTCAACCAGTGATCCGTTAATTTTCATTTTTTTTCAATTATTATTCCGTTAAAAGTCCCCCCTCCCCATCACCACAGCCACCAATCGTCCAACAAGATATTCAGATCAATAAAATAAAATTGAGGTGAAAATTGAAATATCGTGGAGACACGGGTGTTAAGGGTGCGATGATCGTGTGATACACCCCCCACCCCTAAATCAACGAATGGATCTCCTCGTGGCTGTGTCTATTGCCCGTGTAATCGTCAAATAATCGGGCATCGGGATTCAATCGAGCATCGGCTCATCCTCGACACCGTGGTACAGGAATCAGTGAAAACACCAAATGCATTGATTATCTGAGTGATAAACACCGTGATACTCCGTCCTCAAGCTCATCAACAACCCCTGATTCTCCAATATATTTTCATTTATTTATATTTTCATCATCTGTATACTGCACTAGTTATTGCCACGCGTTGCGGCACAATCGGCAGGTTAACCGCTCTCGTATGCCACGACACTCGTTATATCGATTGCTTTGAAAATAGAAGCGTGTGTGCAGGAGGAAAGAAGGAGAAAAAGAAAAAAAAAGGGAACACCTGCTCAACAGTACGGGTACAGTTTCTCGAATAGTGCGACAGGTGCAGCATTCAGGGAAATTGGGAATTGTGAGGATTGAAGGGGTACCCTGATCACAAGGGACTGACGATAAAGGGGGTTGACTAAAGTGTTGTGCAAAAGTGGTGAAACTGTGAAGAGTTTTTTTTTTTTAGTTTATTTATTTACACTCTGATTTGGATGGATTGAGGGAGTGCGACGAGGACGAGCCGTTTGGAATTACCGATTGTTGTGTGTGTGTTATTTATTTTTTTGAGGGGGGGGCTGAAGGTTATTTGACGGAATAGTCCTGGAGGCGCCTGTCGTCTTCGCCGGTACAACCATAACGCCGCCCGCCCTAAAACGCCCGAGACGGGAAACGGTGGACTCATCCCCGCCACCCGCTCGTATTGCATCAACAACCGGTAATCCCGGATCTTCAGCCGAAATTCAAGCGTGCATTATGGAGGCACCATTGTCACAGAGCATGGATTCGGTCAATACCGTTGCTAATGGAGAGGACGAGGTGAGTTGTTTTATTGCTGACAATTGACGCGGGCATTTTTTGGGTTTGAGGGTGGAAAATAATACTGTGCTGCCATCACTTGATCGCTACAGGGGTTTTTTTGCCGACTCCGCGGCGCCACTCGGTCTCGAGAACTCTAGAAAACTATGAGGAATTTCCCCATTTTCAGGCACCTAGACCTGAATTTCTTGCATCACGCAATTTTTTTTATATATTCAGCGGAAATTTTCAGTTCCCGGGATTTTATCAGGAAAATCGGTCAGCGAATTTTGTATAAATACAGCATACGATTTTTCCTACTACCGGAATGTTTATCTACTTTTGTTATTATTATTATTATTATTATTTTATTCAGAATCATTTTTGCATTCGCTGACAACAACGTGTTCTCACGCCTGCGCCCTGAGTTCTCGGAATGACGGGAGGGGGCGGAGAGGATCGGGGGAATTCCTTCTAGTTTTTCAAATTTATCAAACCCCCTGCGAATGAATGACGACATTTGTCAAGCCTTCTTGTTATTCGTTAAATCCTTTATTTTTATTCTGGCGTTCGATGACAACGTGTTATCACGCCTGCGCCCTGAATTCGGGAAATTGCGGTTGGGGGGGAAGAATGTGCGTGAATTCTTTCGTGTTTTCTGATTTCTAAAAAATTTACGAGATTGCAAAAAAAAGTAGGGATTCGCTGAGAGAGTCTTGATAATCTGAGACGACGTTAGAATTTTTTATTATTTCCTTTTCGTTTGTCAATGCACTTTACGATCCATATTTCCTGAGTTGCCTCATACCTACCCCCTGGAGGTCTCGATAGCGCATGCGCAACGTGTAGAGGCGTAAAGGCGCGGGAATTCGATCGGGCTACGACGACGGCGTGCAGGTGACGTTGACTGAGGGGCAAAGAGGGTAAAGAGGGCAAAGAGGGCGAAGAGGGACTCGACATGGATGAGGCCTGAAACAGGGATAACCATAGGGTCGGTGGATGGTCTTACACTGTGTCCTTTATTCTCACTATGGGGCTAGACTCCCAGGTGGGGAGCCTTATGGCTGGCTTCCTTCCGGTCTTTCTTTTTCCCCCATCGCTCTCTTTCTCGCTCTGAGTTTCCCCTTCCAATGGTGACTTCCACCTGAACGCTCAGAACGGCGCGCCACCAGTCTGCCATGCTTGTTATTGATTTTTCCACCGATGCCACGACGACGGTCAAAAGAGGGAGAACGAGAAAAAAAAAAAGTAATGACGATAGACTTGCCTTACACGGGCCTTTTAAATACAAAAGGGACGTGGGGATGTCCGCGAGTTCGGGGGAGGGTTATTAACTCGGGGATGACACTGAACTGACGGTCCGGGTCACAATGAAGGGGTTCATCGGGTTGTTTGTTGATCGTTTATTCAATTCTTCATTTCTCACTGGTGCAATAACTTGGAGATTTTTTGGGGAAACAGTCATTTGAATTCGCGTTATTCCAGAATTGCTCTCGGTGCTCTTATCTGGAGGTAATGTCATTTCAAACTCGAGACAATCAAGTTGAATGAATGTGTCTAGTGGACGTGATTGTTTCGTCAGGAATTCGTGATTTCTCTGAGAATTCATTTTTTGGTATCCATGTTTATCTTTGCCACGTGTTTTGAGGTATTGAAATGATAAAAAACTCTGAAACTCATCTTCATGATTTCTGTAGGGTTGAGGGGTGAAGGAGCTGATGTACTGGAGTTTTACTCGAGTCTTCAATGAATCAATATGAAACTTACGGGTTCTGTCGATTTTCTCTGGAGATTGTGAACTTATTTGTTCATTCTCAAGTTCGTATTTATTTTTTTTAATTTCGATTCATCGATTGATGTAGAGAATTGATGAGAGAACTCACACCAGGATATAACTAGCATGATTACCTGTTAGAGGAGTATAATTATCATAATTGAAACCCAATATTGGTTCTCTGGAAATGACTCGACGGGAGAAATTCTCTACTGAAAGACCAAATTTAATTAACGTCCCTCAAGCAGTTCACAACAACATATTTTTCCTCAATGCGTTATTAATTCTCCAGTAAATTCCCGTCAATCATCATCTCCAGGACGGGACTCCTGGAATATATAAAATTCATATTCATTCATTCGTAAAAGCCTGAATTTATTCCACTTGACGGGTACCAAATTCGCTTATCCTCGCAGGTATCATAAAATGTTGTACGACACGTAAAAGAAATTGTTATTGCGCTTACACCTGATACTATTTTCCTGCGTGCGAATGATCCCCCGACTGTTGAAATCGTTCAAGTTATTTCAGGTACAATACGTGACTGAATGCGTCCTGAAAGGGGTCTGAATTATTGAGAAAAAAAAAAGCGATACTCGAGCTAAAGTCACTGAAATATTATTATTCACCAGAGGCAAGAGCCCATTGTTTCCCCCCGGGTGGAAACTCGAGTATCACCAGAGGGTCCGCAGATGACCGCCATATGTCCAAGTGCTTTCAATTTTTTGGTTATTTCTCCGAGTCATTGATTACCTCGAGGGTTGAAAAATTCACAAACCGACGTATTTTGACGATGTTCTACATCCCCTCCACTAAAATTCCCCCTTTTTCATTTTTTATTTGCAAATTCACGGTGGGATTGCTGAAAAAAAATATCCTTTTTGCCTTTTGTTCCTATTTAATGAATCGTCCCAAGGCGATGGGAATATTGCCCTGCGTTCTTCAATAAAAGAAAAATAAATATTATACTAAGTTATTCCATTAATTTAATTGTTTACACTAGAAACAATTTCCATTACAAAATTGAAATAATTATTTTAGGGTGTCCATTTTTTGGGTGTCCATTTAACCCTAGGCTACCTCGTATTTGTTTATGTCAAAATCCCATCCATAATTATCAAAAAAAAAAAATGAAAAAACGTGAATTTTGGGTAGAAAAGGTGTCGAACATTCTTAATTCATCCGTGTCTTCCAACTTCCTCCATTTATTCCTCGGAGTACTTTTGTCATTCTTCTCATGCCTCTTCGCCTCGAGTAGTTACCGCTGCTCCTAGCTCCGGGTTGCTTGACACTATCCTTTTGTTTCTTTTCTATATATATTTTTTCTTTATCGCTGTCTCTCTCCGAGTGAGATATTTCTCTTGGTCTTGTTAGGCTACCGAGCTTGAGAAGTCACGGAGCCGAGGAATATTAACCCGAGTCGTTCCCTCCGCTTTTTTCTTCATTTCAATCTTGTATAGATATATTTTTCGTCTCGACCAACTACGTTGGCACGAGCCTCTCGGATCGATAGCTACACCACACACTCCAATGTCTTGTGTTTGGGGGTAAAAAAGGGTAGCCATATGTTTTGAAGGGGAGGAAACAGAACTTCTACACTTCTACACTATTTATTTAACCAGCTCTCTGGTTTCCCCAGAAGATCACTAGAAAATCCCTATAAAGATCATACTGACGTTTTTTTACTTGAATTTTTCCAATTGCTAATAAAACCAATATCTTTTTTTTGAATCACAGAATTTCTATCCAAAATGTAAATGTAAATAATTCACTTGATAAAAATCAATTTGTTATTATAAAATATAAAGTAATTGGTGGTTCCCAAAAATATCTTTCTTCAATGATGCAATAAATGTAGTATAAAAGTTCAGTTGATTATGTCCGTTATCATTAATAATTTTGCATTAAGCATTTTGGATAATTTACATTTGCGATCGATCAATATCGAATTGAATAGAACTGAGTAAAAATTAAATTTTATTATTGATTATTGATTTGCCTCGAGAACCATTGATTTAATGGGGAAACTGTGAAGGACTTTTTTGTCGCTGAAAGAATTCTCGAGAGGAAAGATCTCTTGATATTTTTCTTTAAAATCAATAGTTTTGGAGATGAAACGATTTTTGTGGAATTAAACAATTTAACTCGTCACATTATTACTTCCTTACGACACAATTCTCCTCATCCAATATTATTATTATGACAATATAACAAACTTCATTCTCCTCAACTTTGAAGTCTTCATAATAATGATGTACGGATGATAGCAATGAGGGAAATGATGAATTAATTACTTCATTAGAAGGAATGAATTAATGGTGTCGAGTTGCTGTTGAAAAGTCGATAACTCTTTATTTCACGATAAGTGAATGAGTAAAATTTAATAATAATATGTGATGTGGATGAATTAATTATTTTATGAGACTGATAATTAAGGGAGGGATTAATGAAGTCGGGGGGAATTGATGATCATCAATTGCGGAGACAAAGACAGTTCACACGTTGCGAAAATCATGTTTGGACAATGGTACATAGTCTTTTCAATCGTGAACATATTGTTATCACTTGGGCACCAGTAAAATGCGCATATTTCACGTACGTAGACATTTTATAATGCGGTACGTACTGCATTCCCTCCATGTGTATTCAACATTAAGGGGGTAATCTGATTATTCACCGAGCTCGGTATAATTATTCGAGGGAGATTATATGATGTTGCTCATGGTTATTTTCTCGAGTTTTTTCCGGAATTGAAAAATTTTCATTTTTGTTTGTCCATTGCAGCGCTAGTTACGCAAATACATTACATTGTTTCAACTCGGACAGTCAGACTGTTTTAATTGAAATTTTTTCCTCCATTATTCGCCAATCGTGCATTAACATTTAAAAATTAATTACTGGTTATATTTATTGATATTTCGCGGGATTTTATTTAATATTTTGAAAAAACAAGGGAAACTCGGCATTCCAGGTTTATTATTCATATCATTAGACTGCAGAATTATTTACTGAGCAGTTAATTCGATTTTTGAATATTCAGGTAAAAAATTTAAATGGAAATTGTTACTAAAATATCAACAGATTTTCACCGATATCTCGAGTCTCAAATATACGTAGAGAAATATTAAATAAAAAAAACATTTCCCGTAATTTCGAAGGGGAAGGTCAAGAAAAGTTGAGAGATGTTTTCGGAAATATTCCAGAATTTTTTCGAAGCGTTCCATAATCACTAGACGAACTCAAATTC